CCAAGCCCCTCTGATGGCCCCTGTACCTTTCTCTTGGTGTTACAAAAGATGACAGCCTGGGTGATGGTCAGCGTGTCGTAGAGATCACACAGGGTGTCAAACTTCCACTCCTCTCTCTCCACAGCCACAAAAAACTGCTTGATTCCTTCGAGGGTCAACTCATCACTGCAGGGAAGAAAACCACAAGCAGTCAGAAGGGCTGGGTGTGCTTCACCAGAGACCATCCCTCTGCCCATGTGCTGTGGGTTGCTGGTCCAGATGGAGTCCAAGTTGTTCTACAAAGTCCTGAGAAAACTCAGCTTTAAGAAGGGCCCTGAATGTGACCCATTCAGCAGAGACTGGAACTGCTCTGCTCCAGCCCGCTCCAAAGGGGAACATCTCGGTTCTCATCATTTTTACATTCCAGCTTCTTGACAAGAGAGACTGAAGAAAGTCTCAAGAAGACCGAATGTACTAAATGGGCAGTGCAAGAGCTCAGGCAAGAGGGATGCTCCTCCCAAGTCCCAGTGCACAAGGACCCGTGACACCACCAGATGTAAACTGTGCCTCCAAGAACACCCAGGATCAATTGGCTAAAGGGTTTTTTGCCTGCTGTGCAATAGGAAATTTTAACAGGAAGCCTAAAAAAATCCTCTGGGGAGCCCAGGAATTGGGTAAGTGTGAAGATAGATTTCCATGAGGAGAGACTGCTATCCATGGGGAGAATGAGGGACAGCCAGGCTGAGGAGCAGCACACAGAACTGGACAAGGATAAAGTCAGGGAGATAAGTCAGCCCCTGCTGGAAAGCAGGACACCTCTGTAGACACTGAGGGATGGTGAGAAGGAACATGAGAGACTCTCATACATTTAAATCACTGAATACTGTGAACAACCCAGGGCTGGACCAACTCAGAGTCCCTGTTCTCTCCCAAGGAAACTCACTGACCGTTTCACCAGGATGCGGATGGGGTCTGTCATGAATTTGTTGGTCATTTCCAAGATTTCATGTGGCAAAGTGGCGCTGATCAGAACCACCTGGGTGGCTGGAGGCAGGTATCTGTACACATCATAAATCTGCTCCTTGAAGCCTGCAGTGCAAGTCAAGCCACATAGAACAGTTAGCACATGCCTCTCCCAAATATCCTCCTCTTCCACAATCTGATCTGGAATTCAGCTCTGGGTCATGAACATAAATGTGTGAATCAGTGACATTAGACAAGGCATGTTGTGTAGCTTAACCTACTACACCCTACAGCTAACTGTAATAGTATAACTTTTTAAACTTTAACTTTTAGAAGTGGGCCTGCCAGCTGGGACACCCTAGAATCTCAAAGAAGCAAGGAGAAAGGAAGTAGAAGGGAGACAAATGTTTTACCTTTATTGAGCATTTCATCTGCCTCATCCAAAACCAGCATTTTGATGGCACGAGTTCTCAGACTTCTGCGACGAATCATATCTGTAAGATTTCACTTTGAGATGAGAATGCTCTGAAAGCAAGTGAGCCCCACCACTGTCAGGGCATTTTGGTGGAGGAGGGACAGATGTGAGAAACACAAAATGCCAGGTGAACTCTATGTCAACAGAATCCACAAATCCTGTTTGAGAGTCAGCTGTTAGGCAGCTGCTAATTTTTGGTGGTGTTTTATCCCCTTGTGGGGACCAGTTCATGGTCTCCCAGTGACAGGGACTTGTTAAGTGCTGTGTGTTTCTCAGACACACAGAAGATGGGAGCTTGAAGGCCAACATTACCCCTGTGGTAACTGCCACGAACAGCAAATGTTAAACTCTTCCTGCAGTGGAACCAGAAGGTACCAGCTGCAAGTGCACCCGATTTAACAAAGATGGAGCAACCACCAGCGCACAGAGAATGTGGGCTTAATTTTGGCATTCATGTAGGCCTGGCTCCTATCCCCTTGAAGATTTGGGGACTGTAATACTTTCTCCTTTTTCCAAAGCCACCACATAAAGAGTCACCTCAACAATGGAAAGCAAAGCCTAAAGAGAGAAAATAAAAACCCCCCCACCACTGATTTCCCTCTAGTTTTCACAAGAGCAGTAAGCTGTTACCCCGTCACACCTCAGCTCCGTGTTACAATAGGTCAGGATTCCCTTACCGAACACCCGGCCCGGAGTGCCAGCCACCACGTGCTGCCCGTAGTCCAGCTTGCGGATGTCCTCGCCCACGTTGGTGCCCCCGATGCAGGCGTGGCACTGCACGTTCATGTAGTCTCCCAGGGCGAGGAGGCCCTGTGAGGGCACAAAGACATGGACTCACTGCCCGGCTCTCCCCAGGCCACACCTGTGAGGAGATGCCGGCCTGTGCAGCCACAACGTGGGCTTTCTAAAGAGATGGCAGCACAAGGATTCCTGTAATGTCTGGTACCCAAATCGCCACAGCAGCAGGCCTTAAAAACTCAGTTAGGGCTGTGCAAAACCTCAGACTGCCAGGGTAGTGAATATAATGCCGAGGAGCAAAGGACCCTGTATCAGATGATACTTTGTTATTGCTCTCAGGAACAGAAAGAAAAAGTGGAAGCTGCGCTTTGAGCTCTGCTAGAGAAACACCAGAGCACTGGCCCCAGTGCTCTCCAGACAAGGATGGAAATGCTCCTACCTTCTGGATCTGCACAGCCAGCTCCCGAGTTGGTGCCAGGATCAAGGCTTGGGTCTCACGAACCTGGTTAAAGCACAGAATCACAGACAAGTTAATCACAGGCCAGAGAGCCAGGCATGCAAGAGGTGATGGCTCTCACAGAATCGAAGCTGTTGAGGTGTCACAGCTGAAGGATTTAGCACACAATTTTGTGCTAAAGAAAAAAAAAAAAAAAAAAGGTATGTACATGTCTTGCAAAATAGAAACAAATTTCAAGTCCTTCAGCCCCGTGTGTTTGGTTCAGATAAACACTTTGCACTGCTCAAGGATTCCTAGACAAAATTTTGAAGTGTCACCTGTAAAAGTATTATGAGCACTTTACAGAAGTAAAGCAAAAGCTGTCTTTTCCACTTAGAACATGCAACCTTAATTTTTACGTCACCAGACAGTGACAAATGAGCGACAATCCCAGCCCACTGAAAATCACCCTTTTATTCAATTGCATCTGCATATCCAACTTATACCCCAAAACGATTGGATGGACATTATGCCCCTGAGCAGAACAAGAGCAAAGAGCTGTCAGTCAAAAACCTAGATTTGATTCTGTGCAACGTGTGGCACTTGTCCAGACAGGCTGGTGATGCTATTAGGACTGTCTGAAGACAATTCTGCTTGCTGAGAGATTAACTTAGCCCTAAGAGGTGAAAGAGGTCAGTTGTTAAAGACAACTTTATCATTACAAGACATCATCTGAACTTATTTTGCCAGACTGGCTTTAACAGTTAAATTGTTACAATCTGGTGAAGTTCTCAGTCAGAATTCTGTCTCAGGTTTACTGCCTGTAATTAAAAGACTTCAGAGTAAAGCTTCATTAATTCGCTCTTAAAGAACACACTTTCATGATGAAGACCAGTGATCTAGTAAGAATTACTGTTAGCATGTGCTGCTGTGAGCTCACCTGTATATCCAGGCATTGTAGAACAGATATGGAGAATGTTGCTGTCTTCCCTGTTCCCGACTGTGACCTGAGAAAACGTGTTTGGTGAGTACTCTGCATGTGTGCACAAACAGCACAGGCAATCTCATCACGTCCCACCCTCCACTGCAAAGAATTCAACAGTGCCAACAAAGGGTTTATGCTGTTACGATCAGAGCGTGATCTGCTGCCAGGCAGCTTTGAGAGCTGCAATGCCAGGGACAGAACACTCCAAAGTCCCCAGCTCTGGCACCTTCACTCCTTATCAGACCAGCATTTTAACTTTCTGCCATCTGCCACACATACACTTTTTTACAGGTAAATGACTTGTAAAGCCAATGCAATTTGCAAGGCAAGTAATTTGCACTAGTGAGCAAGAAAGAATTTTTTTCAGTGGGATGCATATCCTTCTTTGTCTCTAAGAGATATTTTTTACAGAAACTAAACCTAATAAATTTTGGCATTAACTGGCACAGGATCGCAACAAGTTAGGCAATTTCACTGTTTTGCTTGTCACATCATAACACCACGGAATAGTTTGAACTGGAAGGGAATTAAACAACATCCAGCTCCATACGCCACCCTGCCATGGGAAGGGACACTCCCCACTAGACCAGGCTGCCCAGAGCCCCATCCAGCACTTTACAGAAAATAAAGCCCCCTGGCCTTGGGCCTTTCCAAGGATGGGACAGCCACAACTGTTCTGGCCAGCCTGTCTCCGTGTCCCAGGGATTTCAGGTCACTCCCCACACGCCGCCAGGCACCGGCCCAGGCGCACGGGTGCGGATCCCGCTCCAGCCTCGAGGAATGTGCACGGCATCCCCCGCCGCAGCCCGGCCGCACTCACTGGGCGATCACGTCCCTGCCCTTGATGATCTGCTTGATGGCTCGCTGCTGGATGGCGGACGGCTTCTCGAACCCTGCGGGGGCCAAGGGACACACACGGTCAAGGCGGGCCCCGCGCGGCGCAGGCCCCGCATCCGGGCCTGCCCCGGCCCGCGAACCCGCCCTGCCCTCAGCTCGGCCTCCGGCTCTCAGCTGGGCCCCCCTGCTCTCAGCTGGGACCCCCTGCTCTCAGCTCACCCTCCCTGCCCTCAGCTCGGCCCCCCGGCCCTCAGCTCGGCCCCCCGGCCCCGCGGCCCTTCCTCGTTCGGCTCCGCCGCCCACCGTAGGCGTAGATGCCGCGCAGCAGGTCCTCCCGCAGGCCCATGGTGTCGAAGGTGGGCGTCACGTCCACCTCCTCGCTGGTCTCGAACTCCACCTTGGTCATGTCCTCCTCCTTCATGAGGCGCTTCCGCGCCGAGCCGCCCGCGGACCCCGCGGACCCCGCCATGGCCGCACAACGCCCGCCGCGCGCCCGCCGCGCCTCTGCGCCTGCGCGGCCACGGGGCGGGCGGCAGCGGCGCGTGTGCGCCTGCGCGGAGCGGCGGCGTCCGCGGGCGGGCCGGAACACTCCGGAGAGCGAGGGCCCTGAGCTCCTCCCAGCGCAAAGAAGTTGTTCCGCCCGCCTGAGCTGGGACCTCGTGTTTCAGTTTACGGCCTCTGGAAAGAGCCCGGCACCATCCTCGTGGCGCCTGCCTTTGAGATATTTGATGTACTGAGGGAGTTCCCTCTCCGTCTTCTCCTCTCCACACTAAACAGGCCCTGCCCCCTCAACCTTCCCTCATGAGGGGAGGTCAGTGCTACCATCACCTCTGTCACTCTCCGCTGGACCCTGTCCGGGAGCTCCCTGCCTTTCTCGCCCTGAGGAGCCCAGAACTGGACGCAGCCCTGCAGAAGGAGCTGAGCAAAGAGGCGCCATCAGCTCCCGCGGCCTCCGGCGCCGCTCCTCCCGATTCACCGCGGAGCGCCGCGGGACCGTGCGCGGCCTGCGCATGCGCGGCACGGCGGCGCCCAGAGGACCCGAATTGGGCCGGGCCGGGCCGAGCCGAGCTGAGCTGAGCTGAGCCGGGCCGGGCTGAGCCGATGCTGCGGTGCCGCGTCCCCGCGGATGCATAGCCCCGTTCCCACGGTATGTCAGTGTCTCGTAAGCAGCCAAGACTCAGCAGCTCCGTGGCATGAGGTTTGTAAAAAGGATCCTGGTTGATGGCCTTGATCCACAGCTCCGTGAGGCGATTTCCACTAACCTTGGGTAAGGAGCAATTAATTCCTTGCTAGGCCCCTGCACAGGACAGGTCGTTCGTGTTTGATGCTTTAATGCGATCCTGTAGGGAATCCAGACATCACACACTTAGAAGGGTTTCTCCATCCATTTCCCCTTGGTCCCCCCGCCAATCAACCAACCAACCAACCAACCCCAAAAAAAAACCAAAAAAGGAGGATCAGGTTTTACTGGGAACACTTCAGGCCAAGATACTTCTTTTCACAGGTGGGTGATTCCACAGGATTCTTTTAGGCACCTGAGGGTGCTGACCTGGGGAGAGTTCTCCTGCAAGACAGTTTTTAGATGTGGTCTGTAGTGCAGCCACTGCGTGGTGACTGAAAGGCTCCCTTGGGAACTGCCTGAGCAGGAGCAATCCCTGCCTAAGTGGTGTGGGATTGTAAAACAAGACAGCAGGGGGCTGTTGAGCCTGGTCTTTTTATGGGAGGGAGAGGGTGCACATCCTAGGAGAGGAAAAAACATCACCCCAGTTCTAATATTGACCTCAGGAGTGCTGATGTCTCTGCACCTCACATGTGACACAGATTGTCCTCTTTTTAGTGCATGAACAAGCTTCATCCGCTTTTTTTTTTTTTTTTTTTTTTTTTGATGTAAAATACTTTCTCCTTGATGTATTCGGTTCCAGGGACTGGCAGGGCATTTGCTTTTGAAGTAACACTACATTAATGTACTAAGGAGGAAGTGAATCTCTGCTTACCCTGACAACCAGGACAGCTCAATCTAGGATCCTGAGCAAAAAAAAAAAAAAGAAAAATGAGTCATTCTTTTGGCTTAAGACTTTGAGGTAACAGCTCTCTGAAGATTGGCTTCTTCCAAACTTGGTACAAAATTGGTGCTTTTGGAAATGTTGTGAGTTCTGTATCAGCTTTCTGGGTTTTCTGCTCTTTGTCAAATAAAATGTTGGCTGTCAGTCCCCACCTGACAGTTTTCACAAGACCCTGTAAGTGATACAACTTTCAGTGCTGGCCTTTCTGTGGATCCTGGGTGTTGATGGGTCAGCAGGGAGGCCAAACTGAATGGCCTGTGCCTGCAAACCTGCTCTTGTAGCTGCCAGGAGGGTAGCTCAGGACATCTCCTTCCTGGCAGCCTGGGGTTGTTTCTAAAATGTTCTTCAGCATTGATTTGATCTCTGAAGTTTTCCTTTGGTATTGAAAACCATCAGTCTGACCCCACTGACTTATTCCTGCTGTTTTTTTCCTCAGCATCAGAGGAAGCAGCCTGTCCTTCTGGCCGAGCTACCTGGGCCCACATCACTTCTCCAGCCTCAGCAAAGACGCTGGATTTGCCAAGCCTCAACTTGTCATTGCCACCTGAGCCCTGGAAGGACTTAGAGGGATCCTCAGGGTCCTGGTTCTGCCTGGATCAGTGGTGTGGGTGACGTGAGCAGCTGCCCGGGGTGGGAGAAGCGCTTGCAGCCAGGTTCAGGGTGGGTTTGGTCACCCCAGGGCTGGGGGAATGTGGGGGTGGATGTGGTCTAGGCTTGTCTGTGAGATGGGGGGGCATCCCTGGAAGACTGGAGGGTGGTCAGATGGTGTGACAACAGAAATGCTGTTGGGACTGTTAGAAGAGGGAGGAAGTGATCTCAGTCTGTCATTGCAGAGGCGGAGCAGCAGCACGGAGGAGCAGGAGAGCCTGCAGGGCTGCCTGCAGCTTGGACACCACACTCATGGTCCCCAGCAGTGGCCTCCAGCATGCAGCTGGCACCTCCTACAGATACAAACTGCAGTGCCTCTGGTAGGGGCTCTGCTCCCCGTGAGGGCCCTTCTGTGGGCTGCCTGAGGGGTCTCTTCATGCCCTGCTCACTGTGTCTGCAGGAGCCAGGTGAGGCACATCGCCAGGGAGAGGGACAAGGCTCGGCTGGGTTTGGAGAAGGCAGAGAGACACTGCCAGCAGCTGGGCAGGGAGCTGGATGAGCAGTGCATCGCTCTGAAGCACACCCAGAGCAAGCTCAGGTAGGAGAGCTTCTTTTGATGGGGTGGAGAAAATGTGCCTACACATCCCTTTTGAATCTCCCACTTCTTTTGCCAATGTGTCAGTGGCAGGAAAATCCTTGAAGACCCCTCTCCACCCCTGTGATCTCGGCATCCTTCCAACAGAGCTCTCATCTCCTGCTTGTGGCCATCCAGGAGCATGCTCTGTCTGTCCCAACCGTGTTGCTTTTTTTCCCCAGGAATTTTCAGGCAGAAATGGAGGCAAAAGAGCTGCTTTTGCAGCAAGCAGTGAGTCACCAGACGAAGCTGGAGGCTGCTACCCGGCTCCTCCAGGGCAAAGAGGCCAACCTGCAAGGGAGACTCAACCATGTGATGAATGTAAGTACAGCTGCCTTGGATGAAACACCTTCGCTCTTTCAGAGGTGGCAAAGCAGGGGTGGTGACAAATATAGATGGTTCACTTTGCTCTAGTTGGGAAGAACAGTAATTTTAGGCAGAAGAATCATCAGCCACATCCATACAGTTGTATTAAATATAGAGCTTGTTACCTTGCCATGCCATTACTAAACTGCTGTGTTGTCTGTTGGCAGTGATTTGGCCCTTGGTAACACCTAAAACACAGTGACCAAAGCTAAAATTGTGCCAGGGACCATGTCAACAGCAGAGATGATGGTGTGTGCATGCCTGGGATTGCCCCAGTTCTGGTCAATGTAGAAGTACAGATGGAGATAGCTCAGGACTTGCTGCCTTTGTTAGCTGTGAGGGAAAGCACAATTTTGGGGAGCAGAGGTAGAGATGATCTGTGGGGCTGTCTAGCTCTTACTGTGCAAAACCCACTCCTGTCCTTTGGAGAGATGAGCCCATGTGGTATCAGCAATGTGCTGTCCTGTCGTGGTTTAGGAGTGGTGCTCCCCAATTTAGTTCTCTTACCAAGACTCCCCAAACCACACTGCTGCTTGCTCACTCCCTCTCCCCACTTTTCAGTGGCTGGAGAGGAGAATGGGAGGCACAAAAGGCAAATACCATGGGTTGAGATAAGCACAATTTACTGGAAACAGCAGTGAGATAAGAAACAACTAGTGACAGCAAAAATATTAGCAACAAAAGTTTACAGAAGAGAGAGTGATTTACATGCAAAATGCTCATTGCAGAGCAGCCACATTTTCTCTGGAAGGCATCTCCTTCTCCCTGGAACTGAGAGAGAGTGCCTTCCCTCTGTCCCCAGCAATGAATGAGGTGGTACAGAATAACATCTGGGCCTTAGCCACATCCCCTCCTGCTCACTGCAAAAACCAACCCTGTCCTGGCCAAAACCCGGCCATGTCCAGGGTCTCCTGGGAGCTGTGCTGTGTTCGGCCTGCTGATGTGCCAGTTGTTTTACTGTCATCCTGTCCCTGCTGAGGACCTGTGGCTGAAAAGCCCACCCTGCCGTCTCAGGACCCACTGCCTCAGGGAAATCTCCATTTTATCTGCAGGAGAACACACAGCTACAAAACAAGGTCACAGAGATGGCTGAGAAGCTGTCAGCCTCTGAGGAAATGGTGTTGGAGCTGCAAAAAGAACTCAACCACATTGTGAAGGATAAGGTAACCTTTCTCTGTTGAGTCAAATAACTTTTCAGAAATTCATAAAACATTTGATCTTGCATATTTCCTGTCAGTTTCTATGGTATCCCCCTTCGTGAGCTCTCCTGTGCTTTAATGACAACCTGGAAGCTGGGGAAAAAAAAAAAAGGTGTGAGGAAAGTTTCCAGTTGTAGAGAATTCTGCAAATCTGCAGTCTTCAAGGGAAAACTTTTATAGAGTTTAGTTTCCAGAAAAGTTTTATTTTTCACTAGTATTGAAGTAAAGGGTTTGTTTTAGTATCTTCCACTACTAAAATGAATCTGGGGAAGGAACTGAGTCTGTGATCTTGTTATCCAGGAAAGCCTGCCTGTAGTTTGGTGTCTCACATGTGGAGAAAAATGCTTTTCTTCCGCGTTCTGACCCATCCCAGAAGTGATGGGCCCCTTAGGGAGCCTTCTGTTGAATGTGTGGGTGTAGCAGCTGACCCCAGTGAGTTAGCAGAGCTTGTGACTCTCCATTTGGAGGTGCTTTTCTTGATGAGAAGTGTTTCCTTGTGCAGCTGGAGCAGGGGGAGCCCCACAGCCCGGAGTTCCTGAAGCAGAGCGAGCGCTTTGCCGAGATCGTCCTGGAGTACGAGCGGCAGTGCCAGGTACGTGCGGGCGGCGCTGCTGCTGCCGGTGCTGCTCGCTGCAGCACAGCTCTTGGGCTCCTTGGCCTGGAGGGGAAGGAGGCAGACCTGGTCATAGGGCACAGGCATCCCTCTTACCTTCCTCAGTTCTGTCTCCTCAATCCTGAGGCCTCCATGGGTTGTTTGCCATGCCAGGATTTTGGCAGGAGAGAGTAGGGGTGGATCATAAATTCCTTCCCGCTCGTAGCCATGGACTATTTTGTTAGGGAACCGTGTACCTCTGTCGTTAAGGACAGACTCTGGGCTCTGTTGGATTTCTTCTTGAGCACAAGGAGAAATCTGTTCTCCTAATTTGGAAATCATATTAACAGCTAAAGTCTTCTACCTTTTTGTTTCTCCCTTCCTTCCTACCCCCACTTTTAAAAAAACCCAAATCTTGTTGCTGCTGAACTCTGCTAGAGAGTCAAGGTAAGCCAGTCCAGATACCTGGTGTGTGTGTGTGTGGTCCAAAATTGGTGCTGTATCTGTGCTCCTTCCCAGAGCTTGGGGCTCTCTGAGGCATGAGCACAAACTCTGTTTCCCTTCTCCCATTTTTAATGTGTGTATCTTGCATTTTGGACTTGTATATCTTTAACTTGTGCTGGGTGCTCTGTTCTTCGAGTCCTGTGCTTGTCACATTGCCTGTTTGTTGCTACATGCTGTGTGTGTGGCTGGGGAGCACCCCTGAGCAGGGACAGTGACAGTCACATCCCCCCAGCAAGGGCTGAAATGCAGACTTTGAGCAAAGCCATTCTGTGCATGCATCAGGCAGCCCTCCTCCAAGCTGCAATTAAAGGCAAACATTCTGAAGCACTATCCAGTGCAGCATTGCTCCAGGTGGCACCAGAGGGCTGAATATGCTCAGTGCTGAAATTTTTCCAGTTGTCCATGAGAATGCTGATGGATGGAAAGGTTTGACCTTCAGGCTTCACCTGCCCCTCTGAAGGCACCCACTGGGATTTGTCCTTTACCCTCGTTGAATGCTCTCAACTCCCCTTTCCTGTTTACAGTGGAGATGAAACAAACTGGGTTTGCATTTGTCCACATCTGCTCAGTAGTATTTGTTACCTGGAAGTGTCTTAGTTCGTAGGCTCTTGCAGCACATCAGTTTCCTGGGTGGCAGGATGTGGGATGTAATTGGATGTCTGCTCCAAGTGGACAGTCCAGAAGAAGGCATGATGCTGTTGCTTCCAGTACAGGATAGAGGATGTGAAGTGAAGCAAGCAGCTGCCCACCTCCAGACACCTCCATGGAAGTGGCTCATTGCACTGGTGTGGTGGCTCATTTCTTGGTGTTCAGGGACTCCTTGCTGATGGAGATGGGATAAACTGTGCTGGCCTTGGGATGTCTGTGGCACCAGGAGAGCGGCAGGACCTGCCTCGTGCTGTGCTTCCTGTGGGATCAGCACCTTCCTCCCTCGTTTTATTCCTTCTGCAACCTGGAAATGTTCCCTCCCAGAGGCCTGTGGGCTTTGCTTCACTGTGACTCCTGCTGGTTGCCTTCTCTGCATAGAGCAGTGCTTGTTGGCCAGCTCGTGTGCCCACAAGAGAGCTTAAGGATGGAAACACAAACCTTTGGGCTCGTGCTGAGATCATGATGTTTCTTCTGTGTTGGATTCTCTCAATAGTTATTTAGGTCAGGAGGGTCTCAGGAGGCCCAGCCCCCTGAGGTGTTGGCAAACCCCCTGGTTTTGTGTGCTTTTGCATTCTGGACAGTTGCTTTGTGCTTTACAGTGTGTAGTGATGTGGTTTTGGAAATCTGGGTGTATGTTTCTTCTTTGGCTTCTCCAAATTCTCTAATGTCATCCTTAGTTTGGGAAGGCTGTGTTGTGGCTGTGGGAGGCCCTGCCAGGAGCTTTGGAGGAGCTTTGCCCTGCGTCCTGAGCAGTGTTTGTTTCAGGTGCTGCATGACCAGAACAGAGCGCTGCGAAGGGAGCTGCAAGGGCTGCGCCTGCAGCTGCAGGAGAGCAGGGCTGAGGGAGCGCTGCCAGCAGCAGGTGAGCTGCAGGAGGGCTCCGTGCCCATCCTCTCAGCAGCAGCAAAGTTCCCTCTGGACCCAAGTTTGCAGGGGAGCGCGGGGAGGCTTCTTGTGCCTGAACTACTGCTGCCAGTTGTGGTACTGAGAGGGAAGAAGGAGAAGATGGATCGTGGGGAGGAGGGAGACGGAGGAGAGGAGGGTTTTCCAGTTTGAGAGCTGCTGATGGAACCTGTGAACTAGGCAGCTATGGGTGAACTGGCAGATTTTCAGTGTTGAAGATGCTGAGGAAACAATGCAATAAAAAGAGGAAGTAGCCCCAAACTGTGGGTTGGAAAATTCAAGTTGATCATTAAGTAAAAGCTTCTGGCTAAGTGGGATGATGCAGCCCTGGGACTAGTTGCCCAATAGATGGGGAATGTCCATCTTTTGGGGTTGTATGGGCTGGATGAAGCTACAGCCATCCTGATCGGTCCTGTCTTGTAGGCCTCCCCTCACAGCGCTCCTCCCTGCCATCACTCCCCTCTCCAAGCCTTCTTGTTCCTACTTCTGTGTTTACAGAAATGTCACTCCCAGTGGAGAAGCTCCAAGAGCAGCTGCAGGACCTGAGGGTGCAGCTGGAAACCAAGGTGAGTGGGGGCGCAGGGAATGTCCTGGCTGCTTGGTAAGCACAGCCGCTCCAGCGTGACTGATGAGACGTCTGCTCCAGCGGGGCTGCTGCAGAGAGAGTTCAGGCTGGGGAGCAGGGTGTGCCTCATCACTCATGTGGGGTTATTTCATGTGCTTCTCCAGCTTGTCCTAGCTGGTAGGAGGGTTTGGAGCCTTTGCCTCACTGGCTGGCAAAGGCTCTGTGGATATCACTGTCACCTCGTGAAATGTTTGTGTGGGTCTTGTGAGGAACCAGAGGTCACTCAGTGGTGTTGTCGCAGTAAAACCAGGGACAGGACCAGGAGGAGAAGCAGCCAGGTGTCTCCTGATGGTAGGGGCTGTTTCAGAGCCCTGTCACCCTTGGCTTGCAGCACACTTCTAAGCTGCTTGCTCTGAGATGACAGTGTGGCAGATGATGCCCTGGCCTCTCCCTTCCCCTCTCTGGGGCTCCTTGCAAACAAGGAGAATGGGGAGAACTGTGCTGCTTGCTGGCAAGAAATGGGACTCACTGTTTTCTGCTTGTTAGACACTGCTGCATGAGACTGTTGTCCTAAGTTCAGCAGGGACCAGAACTGCCTAAAGAGAGTCCCCTGTTGAGTGGGATCAGTAGATCAATCTGAATTTTAGCTATTGGAGGAGAGGAAAGCTCTCAGGAGCATGGTGTTAATATCCCAATCCTATCTCCTTCCAACAGATAAATTACTATGAAGAAGAAATAGAGTTAATGTGGAAAAACTTTGAGAGGGAGAGGAAGGACAGTGAGGAAAGTTTCAAGGCTGAGATGTGCAAGGATGGAAGATCAGAAAGAGATCTTGAAGAAACAGTTCAAAGTACTGGCCTATAATTAATGGGCTGAAAGAGCAAAATGGTAATGGAGCCTGGAGCTGGAGGAAAGGTTTGAAATGGAACAGGCCAGTGTGGGACAGCAGCACACTGAAGACATTTGCCAGGGCAAGCAGCTGGACCAGGACAGAGAAGAAATAAAGATGCAGCACAGGGACAGACTGAGCCTGAGATCTGGCACTGTTCTCTTCCTGGAGCTAAGGAGGAGATTAGGGGTGCATCTGCTCATACCAGAGTAGGTTGGGCTGATTTTTCACAGGGCTGGAGAGCTGTTTTAATTTGGAAGAAAATCTGGGCAGAATTGCTGGGCTGCAGTAGTTTGAAGTGAGACATCTAACTCCCCTTACATGAGTGCTTTTATTTCAAGACTCTAAGTTTCCCTGCATGTTCTTCCAGGCTGTGTTAGAGACAGTGCCCAGCAAAGACTGTATGAGAGATATAAAAGAGCTTTCATTAGTGTTTTCTTATTACCTCTTTCTTGGTCCTTCAGCAAACTTGCCTCTATTTGCTAGATGATCACAACTTGCTATCTTAAAAGCAGTAAAAAATGTCTTAAATTTCTCCATATAAGTAAAAGAGATTGGCTTGTGAAAGAAAGAAGTTGTCACTAAATAAATGTTTTATCTTCCCTTCCTCCTGCCTCTGCCCTGCTGTGTCTCCCTTAAGGGGCAGTGTTCCCCTTGGCAATATGCAAGCAGTGGATTTTGCTAGGTCATTATCAGTGTTTTGGGGCTGAGATATGGGGTAGGTGAGGGAGAAAGGAGGTGATTTGGCTGAAGTCTGTGGTAGAGCAGGGAAACAAACCCAAATAACAGGAATACACAATGGACTGGCTGCAATGGGGAGCTTTCAGAGTTGCTGGAAAAGATGTGATGGATGTGAGACCTGCTCCTTCTCTGCTGTTGTCTCTTGATTGTCCCCACATGTTTTGCCTGAGTTATGGGAAAGTTTTTTCTCAGTTTTCTTTAGTCCTTGCTGTCATTGGAAACCAAACTGGAAAAGATCAGGAAGCTGGCACAGAATGCCAGAGTAAGCAGGGCTTGTGCATGGTTTTCTCACTCTGCTGTCTCCCTGCACAGGAGGCCTGTGCTGGCTGCTGGAGAGCAGCTTGCTGAAGAGTTAACAGGGGATGGATTTCTTCCTTAGGAAGCTTTAGATAGGTACTGGGGTCACCCACTGAGCCATCAGTCTGGGGGGAGGCAGCTTTCTGGTGTGGATGATCCCAGTCTGCTAAAATGTCCCTCCCATTGCTCTTCATCCCTTGGCTTTTAGGCCTCTGACAGTATTGCAGGACTTTGGATGTTCCTGGGCTGCCTGCCCTGGGCTGGGCTGAGTCACCTGCTGGGGCAGAGGCACCTGACTCACTCCTGCACCAATTCAGGACCACTGTTTTGGCTTCCTGTTGCAGACCAAAACCAGATGTGGCACTACCCAAAACAGGGCTCTCCTCTGGGGAGCTGTGCTTTGCTGCTCTCTGGTCTGAAGCTGATCCTCTCCCTCTTCCCAGCAGGAAAAACGGGAGTGAGTTGGGTAGAGAGAAGTTGGAGGAGCTGGCTGAAATAGCAGAGTTAACAGCATTGGTGAGAAGCCATTAACCCAGGCTTTTGGCTGAAGGATTTAGAAGGGCAAAAACTGCACGTGTTCACAGAGGAGAGCAAAAATGTTTGTTTCAAACATTCAAACCCAGTCTTCCTTCGAAGAACCAGCTTCATCTTATAACTTGTAAAGCAGTGAAAACTTGTGTGACATTGAAAGTCTTATAGAAGGGGAGTCTTTAATGACTGAATGACTTTCACTACTTTGACTCTTTCTCCCTGAGATGTCTCTCACTCCTGGTCCCAAACCCACATGGCTCAGACAGTCTTTGTTGCCTGTGTTCCCACCCAAGCCTCCTGTGCATGATTTTTTGTTTCTTTTCTCAACCTTTTCCAGAGTGAGAAGGGCAAGGAGGAGCTCTCTCACCCGGATGTCAAGATGCCTCAGCTGGGCTGTGAACGCCCTGAGCACAAGGCTGGTCACAGCCATGGCCCTGGCACTGCCCAGCTGCAGAGCCAGAGCCTTCTGGAGGCTGAGTGGCTGCGAGGGGCAGAGATTGCTGCAAGGCTGGAGCACCACCAGAGGCATGCAGCATGTTGGATGGAGATGGAGCTGCTCCAACAGCAGCTCCAGGCCTCACAGGAAAAGGTGAGTGTCCTTCATTTGGTGGCAGGCTGCTGAGTGGTCTCTGTGACGTTGGTATTGTCCTACCCGGGGCTGTGCTGGACACCATCCCCACGCAGTTAAAGTTGTCCTCGTCCTGTTTGTGGGGAACAAAGGATTCTCCCTCCTGCTCAGATATGGCTGAAGCCAGTTCAGGTGCAGCTGCGGAGAGGTCCTGGCTTGCTTGTCCCTGTGACACCCCCCTGTCCTTGTCCTGTGCAGGCTGGCTGGGCAGAGGGATGGGGGCTGAGTGGGGGTGGCTCACACAGGGCTGCCAGGAGCTGTGGCTCCCTGTGGCTCAGCTGACAGAGGAGCTGGAGCAGTGGTAGCACTGGATAAGGGCTGGCAATGGATGATGGCAGCCAGGCAGAGCATGTGGAGGGATGGGAAATGGGGTGGTCAGAGCAGAGTAACATGGGTCACCAGGACAGAGAGAGGAAAGCCAATGGGAAAAACCTTCCAATGTGTTAATATTCCTCTACCCTGGGGACTGGCTTTCCAAGGTACAGTTTACCCATGCCAGCTATCCCTACGCAGCCCTAGTGCAAAGTTGGACCAGATTTGCTTCCCATTACCAGTTCTGCCCTTTGCTGGTGACAGGAAGCAGAGGACGTGTAGTACAGGACATTTAGTACATCACAGCTAGCCTGGGATGTATCCAAGAAGCCAAGTGAGCAGCCCCCTCTTGTCTCTTGTCTTTGTGGCCCTTGGTGCTGGGACTCCCTCCCAGAGAATGCCTCAGCAACTCCTGCTCCTCGGCAAGGGGAGCACCTCTCAGCAAGGGGTCTCTGTTTCTCCTCCTGCAGCTCTCAGTGCTCCCATCCCTGGCTTTGCTGCTGCCCAGTGAGCACCACTGCCATGGTCCTGCAGCTCTGCTGTGCCCATGCTGGGGTGACAGCTGAGGTGAGGGGCACTACTTAACATCTCCTCTCCCCCAAAACACAGCCTGGGCCTGTCCTGTTGTTGGCTCAAAGCTGTAACCAGCTGTCAACCTTTCTGTGTTACAGCTTTTGGAAGCCAAAGCCAACCTGAGCCTGGCCCAGGCCCAGCACACTCTGCAGTTGCAGCAGGCCAAGGCCCAGATAAACAACATGGTGCCAAAGAAGCAGTTTGAGCAGCTGCATAACACCTTGAGAGAGGAACAGTGCAAGACTCAGCAGCTCCAGGAAAGTCTCCAGCTGCAGGCTGAGCAAGCATGCAGGCAGCTGGTCAGGACCCAGGTAATCAGGGAATTGCAGGAGCTCAGTCAAGGGTACTGTGAAGGGAGCACTGCTGGCCTGGCAGCCTGGAAGGCAGCTGTGATTGAAGCCACCAGAGGTTTGGGTGGAAGATGGTAGACATAAAGAATGCACTTGGAAAATGCACTTGGCCTTCAAATTCAGCTGCAACTTTAATTCTTCATGAATCCTCCAGTCATCAGCCTGCACTCATATGGGTGAATTTATCTCTAGGGCACTGAGCAAACAGGTGTTGGGTTTTTGTGGGTTTGTCTTCTGGGCAAAGATAGGGCAAATTTTAACCTAAGGAATTATAATGAGCAGGCACAAGGACTGCATCCAAGGAGACTTTGTCTCTCCCTGAGCTTTCCTGGACATGGCTGGGAGATGGATTTCCTGGCCAATGGCTTATTTTTATAGAAAACACTGCTGGAAAATCTGTGCCTTGTCTTAAAACTGGTTGGGTGCAAACCTAGGGAAGGTTGTACTGCTCTAGACATCTGTCCCACTGCTCTTTGTATCCTGCACCTCTGATGAAGCCCCCTGCTCTGCCTCAAGGAGTGTGAGGGTGCATGAGCAGGGCCTTGGGGAAATGTACAGTCCAGGGTTACCAGAGGCCAGGAGAGTGCTGGGACAACCCAAAGACAGACTTTCTTGCCCACTGCAGGAGGAACACGAGCAGCTGCTGCAGGCAGCTGTGGAGCAGGCAGAGGGGCTGGAACAAAGTCTGAGGAATGCTGAAGCTCTGCTGGCAGAGAGGGCAGCTCAGCTCAGAGATGCCCAGGTGAGTGCCAGAGGGGCTGGTGCTGTGTGTCCCTGCCCATCTGGTACCCCTGCATGGGATGCTGAACCTGATGCTCCTGTCCCTGCTTTAGGCCCAGCTCTCCAGGAACAAACTATTGATTGAAGAGCTCCGTGGAGAGAACAGGAGGTTTGCAATGGCCCTGCAGGCTGCTGAGATGAAGCAGAAGAGCATGGAAGAGAAGAACCAGCTGTTGGAGGAACAAGCCTCAGCTCTGAAGCAGCTTATTGGAAAAATCACACCAGCATCTCTGAGTGGGTGATGGAACATCTGCAGTGGCAGCTCCTGGTCCTGGCTGGGGCTGGTCAGGTGCAGAATGGGACATACAGCTGGGTTGGGAAATCAGCCTTGTCCTCTCTGGTCTTGCCAGGATTTTCCTGTGCAGAAAATAGCAAATGGGGAGCCTAGAGTCCTTGGAGGAAACTGGTCCTGTGGATAGTTGAATTTTCTAACTGAAAGCAGCAGCCTTGGTGCCTTTCTCAGTGGCAGTGTGCTGTTGTCATGGCTGTCTCAGGACAGCCAGCTCACAGGATTTTCTTTGGCAGTGTTTGGTGGTGGTGCAGGTGCTCCCTCTCAGCAGAAGGTGGATGTTGGAGCCACAGTTACATCTCAAAAGTTAGGGCAGAAGGACTTGCAGGACCCTGTGCCTGGCTCACTCCATGCAGGAAAGAAAGCTGAGTTGTGGCATTAAAATGTGTGTAATGTTACAGCACCTCCTACTATCCCCAGGCTCCTCTGTATTTCAGTCACCTTCCCCAGCTGCTGCTGAACATTTATTCCCAACAGCTCCTCCTAAAGCCTGAACCTAGGATCCAAAACCAACCAGACTGTTGCCTCTGCAGTGAGCAGGACAGAGCAATGCTGTAATGCTGTAATCCTGTTCCTGCATTCTTCCCCAGCTCTTTGCTTTTTCAGCTCCAGTCTGAGATGGGAGCTAAGCAAACCTCTAGTCTTACCTAGGGCTGATGTTTTTCCAGGTGTTTTCCCACACACAGTGCAAGAGCTGAGAAGCTCCATTAGGAAAACCAGACAAGGAAAGCAGTTCTTCAGCCTTGTTGTTTTTGTGCTAGCCAGAATGCTTAAAACCCTCTGCTCCCTTTCCCAACCTAAATAGCCCATAGGCCCTACCAGACCAGTGCTGTGGGATAAGAGATTCTTCAGAGGAACAGAGACACAGGCCCACGACCCAGACTGCAATGATCACTCACACAGCACCTCAGGAAACAACATTTATGGGTCTCTGATGGGGACAAGGCTTCATGTTCCTGGAAAGAATCTTGTACAGCATTATCTGACACTTGGAGAAGCAGTTCCACTGAGAAACTTAAAAAACCATCGCACTGCAGGGTCAGGATGGGTTTGGCTGGAGAGCCAGATCACAGTGCTGAATGAACACCACATTAACTCTTAAAAACCCAAGAGACTGAGGCTGAAGGAGTTCTTTATTTTGGAGCCATGGAGTTTTCCTGGCTTCTAGAGCCCAGCCAGGTGGTGTCTTACATGCACAGTGTGAACAAACAACTACTCCAAACAAAAATGCATTCACAAACCCTGGGTGTAGCTGTGGGGCTTGGATAATGCTCCCCCACCATCCTGGATTCCCAGGATTGCTATATTACCAGCATGCACCCTTTGCTCATGAAGAGCTGTGGTTTTAAGGCATCAAAGGCTGACAGGAGGAGTGGCAGGGTGCCACTGCAGAAGTATTGAGGAGTCTCAAGTCCTGCACACCAGAGCTCAGTCCCCATCGTGGGCAGGCTACCAAGCAAGAGCTGTCCCTCCCATCCTGCACACTTAGGACAGAACGTGCTCCAGGATTCCTTGTCTGATCAACTGCTCACATTTCCAGCGGGGTAAAAAGTGCTGCACATAAACACAGAAAAACCCTCCTAGAATTTGTTAGATTTGTTGCTGCACACAAGCAGCTCTGTTGTGCTGCACATCCAGTGCCTCGTGGTACCAGATCAGGCAGAGCTGCACTCTGTGTGTACAGAGACTGGGACATGCTGCAAGGCCAGCATAAGCAGGGCGATGTCATGGGAGTGAGGGGGCAGGAAGAGAACAGAGCACACTCAGCCACAGGTACCTGGCTGTTCTTCTTCAACAGGATGGTAGTGCCATCATCAACCTCGAACTCCCCGTGGTCTCTTAAACACCGCACCTGCAAAGGGGAAACACAGCTCTGTAGGAGTCCCATGGAAAAAAAAACAACCACCCTCTCCAGGTAACAGTCCTGGGCTTGGGAACATGGTTTCTAGTTGGTCTAGTTAAGTTTCTGCAAAAGGCTGCACTTCTTACTGTTTAACTCGCCCCACCACAGACTCCCTGCAGACTAGAAGTGCCATACTTTGTGCTCTCAGTAGGAGTAAAATGCTGACAGACAGAGTAAAGCACAGAAACCTGTGAAAGCTTTGGAACTCTGAAAGGTTTTACTTGATGAACTGACTTGGGATGGGGATGAAGTCCTCGAAAAGAGATAGTCAGGAAAATGTTTATCCGTGGATAGAGGCGAGAAATCTTGCACTTACTTCAATGTACAGGCTTTTAGGAGGTTTGATGTCCTGTGTGAGGTCCAGCCCCTCCTCTCCTCCTACTGACCTCATGTAGGTAGCCAGAGACTTTTTGTACCGATTGAACCACTCTACCTGTGGGCATTAACAGGGTTGTACCCACAGACGATGAACACACACAAGTCAGTATTTACAGAAAGACATGTTAAATGTCATGTTTATAGTGCAGGGGAGACTACCCTGTTTTGATTTTACTAAATAATCCATCAGAAGGGATATGTGGGAAGAGAAACGAGGTTGACTCACTTCCTCAGCTGACATGTGGAACTGGATGGTGTTGGGCAGAACGCTGCCATACTCCCACCTCAGTGCTCGGATCCGTAGCAACCTGTCATACCTAGGGGAAGAAAAGGGGCAAACCCAACACCTCTGCTGAGGTGAGTGCTGGCAACATCCCCAAGCCACAGGAACATCCAGTAATGTACACTTTTAAAGAGCAGGGGGAAGCAGAGCCTTCTCTTCGCGGTGATACCAGCAACAAGCACAAGGGGAACCAGCTCCACAGCTGCCTTGCTGCTCGTGGAAGAGCCGCCTGCCCGTGCCGAGAGTGCCGACCCCCGTGCCAGCAGGGCCGAACAGGGGAGGCAGCCCCGCGCAGCACTCACAGGTAGGCCAGGAGGCAGCGCTGGTTCCGCAGCAGGCAGCAGTGCCGGAACCGGATCAGGAAAATCAGGTCCGTCCGTCCCGCCTTCGCTTCGGACCTGGCGATGAGGGGAAGGAGAAAGAGGAGTAGGAGGAGAGCTGCGGGCCGGGGAGCGCCGCCCGCGCTGTGCGGGACGCGCCGGGAGCGGGCGCCCAACTCACACGTCCGCCTGGTTCCGCTCGTACAGCGCCCGCATCTCCTCCAGCGCCTGCCGCATCTCCTCCGTCTGCAAGAGCGGCACGGTCAGCGGGAGCGGGCCGGCGGCGGGCCCGCCGCTGCTCCCGGTGCCGCCGCGGCTCACCCGGAAGGGCGGGAGGTGCCCGCCGGCGGCGCGGTGCAGCTCCCGCACCAGCTCCAGGCCGCGCTCCGCCGCCATCGCGCCGCCGCGCGGGAACCGCGCCGCGCTCCAGCCAGCCAATGGCGGCCGCGCCGCGCCGCGCCGCAGCCAATGGGGCGCGAGGGGCGGGGCCTAGAGGCGGGCGCGGCCGCTCCCCGCCGGTGTCCCGGGGGTGCCCCTGAGGGGCTCGGGGCGCGCTGGGAGCTCCGAGCGGCGGGAGCGGCAACTCGAGCGGGGACTGGAGCTGCAACCGGAGCTGCAACCGGAGCTGCGACTGGAGCGGCAACTGGAGCGGCGGCTGGAGCTGCAACTGGAGCTGCTGCCGCCCATTGCCTCTAGCGAGCCCCTTTCCCACCGCGGGGGCGCGCTGGGAGCCCCGAGCTGCTGCCGCCCATTGCCTCTAGCAAGCCCCTTCCCCGCAGGCCCCGGGGTCGGGTGGGGAGGGCCGGTCCTGGCCGGGCACAGCGCCGGGCACAGCGCCGGGCACAGAGCCGGGCACAGCGCCGGACACAGGGCCGGGCACAGAGCCGGGCCTTCGCGGGGAAGGCGCTGAGGACAAGCCCGGCCAAGGGCTCGGAGGGCTCGTGTGCCCCCAGAGCCCCTGGAACTCTGGTGTGGGGTGCTCTGTACAAGCGCTTGTGGCCCAAGGCAGAGGGATTCCTCACAGGGACACGGAGCCATTGGAATGGGAATGGCCTCAGGATGAAGGAAGGCAGGGTTAGATGAGTATCAGAGGAAGTTTTTCCCTGGCTGGGTGGGCAGGCCCCTGTGGCTGCCCCTGGATCCCTGGCAGTGTCCCAGGCCAGGCTGGACCCTGGGGCTTGGAGCAGCCTGGGACACTGGGAGGTGTTCCTGCCCACGGCAGGGGTGGAATGGGATGAGCTTTAATGTCCCGACCACAACTTAGTGATTCTGATGGTCTTCCTGAGGTCAGTCAGCCTGAGGAGCTGTTGCAAATTCAGGCTGAAAGATGAATGCTCATAATTTACACTGTGTAAAGCAAGAATGAATGCTTAAAAAAAAATCTAATGCATGATTTTATAATTTTTTTAAGAAAAGGGATGGGGAGAGGTGCTTCCTTTTATTTTCTTCAGAATAAATGTTATTTCTTACTTACAGCATGGTAGAAACCTTATTCTGCTCTGACTGCTCAAGGACACTTGGCAGCATCTACAGGTGCACCTCAAGGAACCTCGACTAGAAGAGAGATTTGTTCTGTTTCAGTATTGGCTCCATTGACAGGTAAATACAGAATGTTTGTGGGTCAGCCTGCCAGCTCCACTCACCAGGCATCACACTGAGGGTGCTCCTGTCATATCTCTGGGAAGTCTCGAGGCAGCTTTTCCTGCTGCTCTGTCCCAGAGTGCTTTTCTGTATTGCTGCTGTTGGCATCAGAGTGCTCAGTTGTGAGGAACATCACCTCTGTAAGGCAAATCCTAGAAAAAAACCCCAAAACAGCCAAGTCTGCCTTTATATGAGAAATTGCATTCCAGCCAAGAAAATATCACCAGGTCCAGGGCACGGGAAGGGTCCTTCTCATTTGATCAGAGGAGTGCCCCCCAGATAGGCTGTCTGGAGCCCTTAGGGGTCGGATTATCAGCAGGAAGCGTGGCCAGAGGGGCTCAGGCAGAGCTTGGGGCAGGTCCGGTGGCATTACAGTTTGACACTGGCACAAGGTCAGTGCTTTTATGAAAATGGACTTCTTTTAACTGAATGCTGTGAGCTGTGATTAGGAACAGAGCAGAGCAGGCTTGAGCTTAAAAACAAAGGAGAAAACTTTATTATTCTACAACTATAATAAAAGGAATACACAGAATTTGGGATGAAACCCTTTTAAACATCCCTCTTCTATTCAATTTCTACTAAAACACAGTGAGACACAACTTGGGTTCTTGATCAAGTTACTATTCTTTAGATAATTAATTTTTAGTTTATCAAGGGAGAGAGGAGTTTCTCTTGTGTTATAGATCTCTAAGAAACACAATTGTAACTTCTTGTGTTTCTGTGTCACACATGGTACTGTCTGGAGAAAATTTGCTATTGTGACACTTTCCCTTCCATGTCACAGTGCTCTCACCACTGTGCATGGACTGAAACTGCTTATAGGGTTTCTTTTTAAGGATGCTTTGCTAAGGACTAAAAGAGTAACAGTTCTTTATTTTTGGGATAACAGTCCCCCCCATTTTTTCCTCCCCTGGGGCTGAGGGTCTCAAGAACAGAGATCTTTTTTTTTATTTGAATCTAGAGGGTACTACTATACTCTCTTTAACTTTTTTCTTTCTTTATTTTACTCTTGTGCTTTTTTTTTTTTAGCTTAAGTCATTGTATCCTCTTAAAAATGCAGTCTCTGTATTGTAGGAGAAAATTGGTTTAGTCTATGGCTATACAAGAAAAGTCTAGCTAAGACTACTCTATTATTTCTTTCTACTTAGGATTCTTCCCTCATTTTCTTCTGACATTTCAGGTCTTAGGCTGTCTCTCTTTTCTTTTAGATTAAGGAGGAGTAAGGTTTTGTAAAGTTTTCTTTTTTCAGGAAAGGTTTAAAAGCCTAAGCTCCCAGGACGGTTGAGATCTTACAGTAGGCTGCTGAACTCTTATGGCTGGGCACTTGCTTTTCTCTTCCTTTTGTTTTCTTTGCAGTGTACTGCTGGCACATGATATTAAATTTTTAGGTGGAACGGGCTCTTTCTTTCTCTCTCTCTCTCTCTCTCTCTGTGGGGTTTGCTTGGGACATTTTAGTGGCTTTTTACCTTTCTGTCTTGTTGGGGGCTGGTTTGGTTTCATTCCCCTCACCCCTCTTTCTTTTTCTGGGGCTCTGGTCTGCTCCAGTTACAGGTGGCATGGCTTCCCCTCTGTACTCGTGGTGGACTGGAACAGAAGAGAGAGTTCTCTTGGGAGTTCTTTGCTTTTAACCCCGTGTGTTCTCAGGGGTGTGTCTAATGCTTTTAGTGGTCACTTTAAGTGTTAATATCTAAACTTGATGACTGATTAGTTTGACTCCAACTTTTTGACAAAACTCACTTCTGTGTCACGTTATAATAGGTGGGCAATGGCAAATCTGACAGCTGAGTATGTGCTTGACCCTCTCAGTAAGCCCTCTTAAAATCTGTCTAGAAAATGAAAGTGTGCTTGGGTGTAGTCAGTTTACAGCACTGAAAAGTGGTCTTAAGGTATTCTTCAGTAACTATATAGTGAATCAAGGCTTTATGCCAGATTCTTTTATGCAAGCATTGTTCTGATGGACAGTGTTCACCTGAACTAGTTTTAATGCCTCTGTTTTTTTCTGAAGTTCACATTTATTTTGCTGTATTGCTATGGATGTTCACCCTCATGCTCTGGACAGTGCCTTTGGAGTTTTTTCTCAATTCTACAGCTATGATACCTTATTTTTTGGCAGTAAAATGGCATGGCAGTAAAATTCTCTACAGCACTAACCTGGCTGCAGAATGGCACATTTCTTGGAGAGTAATGCTGCTTCTCCCAGCCAGCGCTGCACTGTTCCTGGTGTCTGTGCAATTTTTCACTGCATCCTGCAGCCCCAGAATCCATGGCTGCCTCTCAGGGTTCTGGAGGAGTGCTGTGTCTGGATTTTTGGCTTCAGAGTGAGAAGTGCATGATCTAAACTGTGGCATCTCAGCTATATTCTAGGAACCCCAGGAAAGCAAGCTGTTATTCCTGAGGAACTGCTGAATCTCAAAAGTCGAGCTGTCTTGCAGGAGGTGCTGGAAAGGGTGAGATTTAACCTCATATCATTCTTTGTCTAAATCACCTCTGTGAAACCCTAATGTTCTTCAATACTTTATTGAGAACAGCTTATTTCACCCAGAGTAATTCAGTGCATTGTAGCATGGCATTGGTATCTTGTGTTATGCAAGATTTTCAGTAACTTCTCCTTCAATTCTCATGGTAATTAGCATTTTCTGTTTTTCAAGCACAGCATTAGGTTCCTACTTATGTCTCAGTAATTTGGTATGTTGTTCTAGTTAGTTCTGAGTCACTTTTACAGATCTTCACTTACCTTTTAGTCATGTTTCTTCTTGCCTTTCGTGCAAATGGACCCAATGCTTTTGCTGTAGCTTTGTATTGAAATCTAACATCATAAATCAAGTTGATGTTCTGCTCTACTAAAATCTTGTGGCTGCAGGTAGGAAGAGCTGGGAGCAAGTAGTGTAAGGAAGTTGACTGTGGAGACTGAAGGTTGTCCAGCTAAAGCTGAGTGTGTGGCTCTGACACCGAGGCTGGAAAACTGTCCACTGTGTGGATGTTAGAGTTGGGTGAGCTTTCAAAGTATGACAGCAGCAGGGAAAGAATCAAATGAAAAGAATCGGTGGTGTGAGATGAGATTTGAGCCCTTTCTGACATCCACACGTGCTCTTTGTGTTGTCAAATCCTGTGTGTAAGCCAGAACCTGTTCCTGGCTGTTTTGCAGGTGGATGTGATATTCAAAGCTCTGGAGCCAAGGCTGAGCACCATCGAGGGGTTGTGGCTGCTCTGCACTGGTGAGTGTGACAGGAAATACACGCTGAGCTGCAGGAGAAGGGCGAACAGGAGCCTTGGCCCTGCCATCCTCTGGGGTCTCTGGGAACATTGCAAGGACTGGGAAAGAGCCGGGAGCCATGGGAGCAGCGCTGAGCGAGGCTGTGTCCCAGCCAAGGAGTTCCTCTGGTGTCCCTTAAGAGGATACCCCAGGGCTGTTTTTCTTCATAAAGACTTCTGACCAGACCATCTGTAGACCTCTGGCTTAATGTAAATATTTATTTAAATTTTTGTCTCTGAAAGCAAAGCATTTATCTCCTGACTTCCCTGCTCTTCAGTATCTGCTGAACTGGCTGTGCATTTTTCCTAGGCTAAGGAAAACCCTCCCTGTGATTCTGTAATTTCCAAAGGAGCAGCATTAAGTCACTTATGTTTTTCTTGTCTCCATAACTTTAGCTTGACTCGTGCTCAAAGACAGGAATGAACTCAAGAACCACATGTGGTGAATTGTTAGTTTGGCGGGGGTTTTTTGCAAGTTCAGGGCTAAAATGTGATGTAAGAAAAGGCTTTTTTTGCAGCATTAGATTTTTGCAGTATTGCAGCTTTTCAATCTTTCTAAGTAAGTCACTTCATTCCAATTTAAACTCTCTTGAAATATGCTTGATATGTTTTTTTTTTTTCCCATTGTTATGTTAGTTTTTGTTTTGGTTTGATTTGGCTTTCTTTTTTGCCTGGCTTAGGAAAATTTTACAGATCTCACTTTTTTCTTCTCCAGTTCAGTGTAATGTTATCTTCTTAATTCAAAAAACATTTGCTGTATGGAAAAACCACCTTGCCTTGTGAAGGGCCAGGTGGGAACTGCTTTAATGGCCAGTGGCACAGCCCTGCAGCACAGAGATTCCCAGGGAGTGGGGAGCCCTCTGCCAGGCAGACCCACCTGGCCAGGTTCCTGCGGGTGCTGCTGCTGTACCCGGCTGATGAGGTGATAACCAGCTTGGCTTTACTGCCAAAATAAAACTCATCCATTTTCTTAGGAATCCCAGCAAACTGGTCCCAATGCTTTGTCACTCATCTCTGCTTCATTGGTGTGGAGAGGCTGGATCCCAGTTCTCACCCCAGGAGTGCCCCTGCATCCCTTTTCCCCACTTTTCTGTTCCAGTCGTGGGAAATACCTGGGCTTTGTTTTCTTCCCCTGCAGTTCACTGCAGATCCCAGAAAACCCACAGGAGGGAAGGTCATTACTTGTGCTTCCACCACCAAGTGAGAGAAGAGATGGTCACATCCTAGGAGCCTGATTTTGGAATGTTTTATGGAATTGGCCCAGTGGCTTTTACTTCTGGGGTTCCTGGAGTCTGTCCATGGCAGGTCCAGCCCGTGCTTCAGCTTAGAGCCCTCAGTTCTCAGGGAAATGAGTCTTTGGGGAAGTTCTTACAGCTCTACTTACTGCTTTATGAATGGTGATGATTTTCTGGAAGTAGGCTGTCCATTCTGACCCCTTTTCTTCCCTCTCCCTGCAGACTGTACCTGCTGAGAGGCTGAGGTGAGACCAGGATCTGTAAAATCCCTGACTCTCCGTGTCTTCCTGAGGCTGAAGCCATGTTTGCTGTCAATGACAACATGGTGGGAGATGCTGAACACTGAAAACTTTGGGTTTTTTCCTCTGAGCTTCCCAAGACTATCTGCAGCTGTGCCCTGCCTATCTCTTGAAAGAGTTTCTGTGTTTACAAAGGTTTTTACATTCTGCAATATATATTTATAACTCAATTAAAAAGAATCATACTGTATCAATGTGGTGTTAATTACTTTGTTTGAGTTTGTTAATTAAAGCAAACGGTTGATAAGGGGTTTGAGCATCCCTTAGTTGGAGCTGGTAGCTCTTATTTAATTTCTCTTCATTCCTTTAATTTCTTTCAATTATTTCTTAAGCAATTACTGCAATTAGGATATACAGTAAGGACAAGAGCATTTCTGCCCTGCTGGATTGGGAAATCCAAGCCCAGTTCCTTGGAGACATTGAGGGGATGGGGAGCTGAGCCTCAAGATGGGTTTTGACAGTGGGAATCTCGTGAGGAAGGAAGAGAGGAGATCCCACAGAAAGTGGCTGAGGCCAGTTCTGCTGGCTTTGGGTGCTCCTGCCCCCGAGAAAATCATCCTGGTTAAAGGGAACTTGTGCCGGGGGCTGTGCTGGGACCCCCAGACCCTGGTCAGGGATGCTGGGCAGTGTCGGCTCCAGAGGAACACTGCAGAGGGGCTGTGCTGGAGCCCCTCAGCTTCCATCCAGAGATGCTGGGCACTGCTGGGCTTTCGGGGCGCTACTGAGAGGCCCCACTGCCAGATCCGGAGAGTTATTTTCTGTCGTGCTTAGCACCTGGCAAGTCATTGCAGCCCCACAGGCTGCCACCGGAGCAGCTGGAATCCCAGAAATCACACAGAAACCGGGCTGGGAGAGGAAATGAGCTGTTCGTGTTGTTTTTCGCAACGCATTTTGAATTTATACCAGAATCTCTTCTCTCCCCTCAGATCCTGTACCCCTGAGTTTTGAGTTATCTCATAAAAATGTCTCGGCCTACGCTGGAAAAAAGAAAATTCCCTGGCACGGCGGGGAGCGGCGGGGTTTGGGGGTGCTGGGGCCGGCACGGGAGTCCCCACGCCCCGGCCGGTTTCAGTCAGCACCGGGAAATCGCCGCCGCCGCCGGCTCGGCCCCGGCGCCCGGCCCGGTGCTCCGGCCCGAGAGAGACCCAGACCCCGCCCGCCGGGGCAGAGGCGGCACCGCCGGGAGCCGAAACGGCACCGCCGGGAACCGAACTGGCACCGCCGGGAACCGAACTGGCACCGCCGGTCACCGCTCGGGACCCCCGGCGGGCACCGCCGGGAACCGAACCAGCGCCCCCGGTCACCGCGCGGGCGGGGCCGGGAGCTGTGGCCCCGCCTCCATTGGGCGGTACCGGGAGCGATGGCCACGCCTCCATTGGGCGGTACCGGGAGCGATGGCCCCGCCTCCATTGGGCGGTACCGGGAGCGATGGCTCCGCCTCCATTGGGCGGTACCGGGAGCGGTGGCCACGCCTCCATTGGGCGGTACCGGGAGCGGTGGCCCCGCCTCCATTGGGCGGTACCGGGAGCGGTGGCCACGCCTCCATTGGGCGGTACCGGGAGCGGTGGCTCCGCCTCCATTGGGCGGTACCGGGAGCGGTGGCCCCGCCTCCATTGGGCGGTACCGGGAGCGGTGGCTCCGCCTCCATTGGGCGGTACCGGGAGCGGTGGCTCCGCCTCCATTGGGCGGTACCGGGAGCGATGGCCCCGCCTCCATTGGGCGGTACCGGGAGCAATGGCCCCGCCTCCATTGGGCGGTACCGGGAGCGATGGCTCCGCCTCCATTGGGCGGTACCGGGAGCGATGGCCCCGCCTCCATTGGGCGGTACCGGGAGCGGTGGCCCCGCCTCCATTGGGCGGTACCGGGAGCGGTGGCCCCGCCTCCATTGGGCGGAGCGGGGCGGGGCCGGGGCGGAGCTTCAGGGGCGGGGCCCGGCCCTGGCTCAGGTGTGCGGGACCGCAGAGCGCCTGCGCGGGGCGGGGCCGAGGTTATTTAAGTGCCGGGAATCGCCGCGGCCGCCATTTGCTCACGCTGAGCGCGCTGCGGACGGGTGGGTTCTGTGCGGGCTCCGCAGCTTTGGCTTTCTCTCCCCTCTTCTACCCTTCCTTCCTTCTTTCTGCTCGTATTCCCCTTATTTCTCTTCTCACCTTTCCTTCTCGTCCCCTTTCGGCCTCCCCTCCCGTCCCACTCTCTACCCTTCCTTCCTTCTGTCCATATTTCTGTTTTTTCTCCCCTAAACCCACTCCTCCTCTTCCCCCAAACGCGACCCCCCGCACTCCTCCCTCTCCTGTCCCTGCCCCGCTCCTCCGTTCCATTCCCCCGCTCTCCCTCCTCTCTTCCCGTCCCCTTTTCCTTCTTTCCTCGCAGCCGCGGGGCTCGGGGTGCCGGATAATAAAGCCCAGAGGGCCGGAGCCCGGCGCCCCCCGCCCTCGCTGGGGTCCCCACACGGGGCAGGAGCCGCTCTGCGGTCCCCCCATTACAGTGCAACACACGGGCCGACACTGCCGGGGCTCCGGCTGTCCCGACATCACACTGGGGGTCGGGCCGGGGGCAGGGAGGGTTCGGGGGGGGGGGGGAGGAAGGGCCCCCTCATTAGGAGGGGTCCCGGGGTGGGGGGGTCAGGGAGGGCCCCCTCATTAGGAGGGGGCTCTGGGGGGGGGGTGGGGGTTAGGAAGGGCCCCCTCCGGAGGAGGGGGTCCCGGGGGGGGGGGGCGGGGGGGCCCCCTCCGGAGGGGGGGGTCCCGGGGAGGGGGGTGGGGCGGAGGGGGGGCCTCCCCCCCTCCAGCCTCTCCCCCTCCCCGGGACCCCCTCCTCCGGACGGGGTCGGCCCCGGCCCCCTCCCGGGGACCCCCTCCTCCGGACCGGGGCCCGGGGGTGGGGAGGGGGGGCGGGTGGGGTGGGGGGGGAAGCAGAGGGGGGCACGTCACTCTGTGGCGTGAACAGACGTAAAAAAAAAAAAAAAACAGACACACGGGCAGCCCTCCTGCCCTGGCCCCCCCGCCCCACCCTCCCCTCCCTCCCCCCGGGCCCCGGTCCGGAGGAGGGGGGTCCCCGGGAGGGGCCGGGGCCGACCCCGTCCGGAGGAGGGGGTCCCGGGGAGGGGGGTGGGGTTGGAGGGGGGGGGGGAGGCCCCCCCTCCGCCCCGCCCCCCTCCCCCGGACCCCCCCCTCCGGAGGGGGTCCCCCCGACCCCCCCCGGGACCCCCTCCTCCGGAGGGGGCCCTTCCTAACCCCCCCACCCCCCCAGGACCCCCTCCTAATGAGGGGGCCCTCCCTGACCCCCCCACCCCGGGACCCCCTCCTAATGAGGGGGCCCTTCCTCACCCCCCCACCCCGGGACCCCTCCTAATGAGGGGGCCCTTCCTCACCCCCCCCCCTGCCCCCCAGGACCCTCCCTGCCCCCGGCCCGACCCCCAGTGTGATGTCGGGACAGCCGGAGCCCCGGCAGTGTCGGCCCGTGTGTTGCACTGTAATGGGGGGACCCGCAGAGCGGCTCCTGCCCCGTGTGGGGACCCCAGCGAGGGCGGGGGGCGCCGGGCTCCGGCCCTCTGGGCTTTATTATCCGGCACCCCGAGCCCCGCGGCTGCGAGGAAAGAAGGAGAGCGGGAATGGGGAACGAGAACAGGGCAGCACAGCGGCAGCCGAGGGGAAGGGGACAAGGACAGGGGGACAGAGGTCGGGGTGTGCGGGGCAGTCGGGGAGGGGGCTGGGGGGAAGGCAGGGTGGAGGAAGGAAAGGAAGGATTGAAGGCAGGTTTGGGGAAGGAGGCGGAACGTGTGCAGGGGGGAAGGGGAGCAGGGAAAGGGGGCGCGGGGGAACCCGGCTGGGGAGGGAAGGAAGAGGGACAGGATAGAGGAACAGGGTAGGGGTGAGTAGGGGAATAGAAAGGGAGGAAAGGGAAAGGGGTGTAGGGGGGGCCGCCCGGGGGGGAGGGAGGGGAGGGCTAGGGGGGAGAGGGAGGGGGGGGGTTTGGGGGGGGGAGGGTGTAGGGGGTGGGGGAGGGGAGGAAGGGAGGGTAAATAGGAGAGGTATAGAGAAAAAGAAACGCAAAAGAAAAGAAACACAGAAGCAAAGAAATATAGAGAAAAAGAGATAAAGGGGCCCGGCCGGCCGCAACCTCCCGCCCCGAGCGCCGAGCAGCAAATGGCTCTGCCCGGCCCTCCCCGCCGCTTAAATCCCCCCGGCCCCGCCCCGCGCAGGCGCGCTGGGGCCCCGCGCACCTGTGCGCGCACCTGTGCTGGCCCCGCCCCCCCGCCCCCCGCCCGTAAATGGCGGCGGATCCGCGCCCGCCTCACATTCTGCGGGGGATGCTCGGCCGGGCTGCGGCGGGACCGGCGCTCGGAGCGCCGTGCGGAGATCGGATCGGGGCTGCTCCCGGCGCTGCGCGGCGCCCGACGGGCTCAGGTGCGACCAGGACTGGGATCCGGGCCCGGGGATTTGGGCCCCGGTCCCGCCGGTGGCTGCTGTGGGAGCCGGGCAAAGCCGCTCCTTCCTCGGCGGGCAGGGTGGGGGTGCCGGGGCCGGAGGATCGGGGCGGGATCGGGGCGGCGATCGGGACCGGCACCGCCGCTCCGCCGGGGCCGCCGCTCCCGCTCCGCCTGCGCCCGGTGCGGGGCTGCAGGAGCCCGGAGCCCCCGGAGGGCAGAGAGCACCTCCGGTCCTTGGCTCGGCAGGGCAGGAGCTGCCGTGCCCGGCCCGTGGCTCGCAGCGTGACCAACGCACGGCCCGGCACGGGCACCGGGGCACCGGACAGCGCTGGCACGGACGCGGCTCAAGGGCTGCCCGTGGCTCCTCAGCCGGGGGCTGCTCCCCACAGGCACGCAGGGATGCTTCAGCCCGGACAGACGGCACCGACAGCCCAGAGGGACCCCAGGGAACGGCTGGCATCACCTGGGAACGGAGGCACGGCCGTTTGCAGAGGGGCTCTGACAGCAATCCCCGTTTCTGACCTCCCCGAGCTCCCACACAGCTGCCAGGTATGTCCCAGCCACCCCAAATCTCCTCCCTCTTTTCCAGCCTGAGGCCATCATCCACCAGGAGCATTTGAGCCAAGGCAATCTTTTCTTGCAGATACTAAATGCCAAGCCATAGCCTCGGAGATGCCTTAAAATCAGAGGTTCGAGTGCAATGATGTCTGGAGATTTCCAGGGAGCCAGCTGGAGGTGCAGAAGTGATGGAAAACTCTCACAGGTGGGTCCCACTGGAGGTGTGCTGCAGGCAGGGATGTGCATCCCTTTCCTGAGGGAAAAGGACATGCAGAGGCCACTGCTGAGGCTCTGAAAGGAGCGGAGCTTCTGCAGGAGAGATGTTCTGCCTCAGCACAGGCCGGGAGCGCATCCAGCCACCGCCTTGTCCTGCTTTAAAACATCAGCTGGAGCCTGAGCTCCGGGGGGTGAAATCAGCTGAGTTCCAGGGAACTCTGTCAAGTGACTCCAGACACAGCCCTGGGCTGGGGGATGAGGGTTTTAAATAGCAAGTTCTACAGAATAGAGACCTGTCCTTGTCCTGATCCCACTGAGCTTCCCTGGAACCTCTGCTGGTTCCTGACACAGCTGGTGCTAAAGTGGCAGCTCTGCCTGGGAATTTCCACTATCCACGAGGCACCGTCAGGTTATTCCAGCAGGAATTCAGCAGGGAACCTGGGGCTGTGGGCATATTTCATCTGTACTAGCAAAGCTGATACTGAACCCCAAATCCAGGCACCACGCAGAGAACAATCTTTGTGCTAAATCCCCTGGGTGAGGAAGTTTCAGCAGCCAAATGTATAGAATGATCTAAATCCCAGCAGCCAGCATCCCCCAGAGGGACAATCCAAGTGCCAGGGTGGGAGCCCTTGTCCTTCCCCTGCTGCTGGTGGGACAAATTCCCCTCGGCACAGCTGGCTGGGCAGGAGCTGAGAGCAGGAGGGGCGGGAGCAGGGATGGGAGATGAGGCAGCTGGAATGTCACCTGGAGCAGCTGAACACGTTCTGTCCCTGTAGGAGCCAAAGCAGATCCCTCCTGGCTGGGCTGGATGGGGGATGAGGCTGCTGGAATGTCACCTGGAGCAGCTGAACACGTTCTGTCCCTGTAGGAGCCAAAGCAGATCCCTTCTGGCTGGGCTGGATGGGGGATGAGGCTGCTGGAATGTCACCTGGAGCAGCTGAACACGTTCTGTCCCTGCAGAAGCCAAAGCAGATCCCTCCTGGCCGGGCTGGAGGGCAGCTGCTGCATCTGCTCTGGGGAAAAACTCCCTGCCCCTGCCAGGAGCGCTGACTCTGCTTTTCCTCCAGCTCCTGAGCAGTGTCAGGGCCACCGGGAGGGAGTTCAAACCCAAAAAGTCCCCACAGCCCCCAGAGTGAATGATCCCAGCAGAGAAACGCAGCATTGAAATAAAAAACTTAAAGCTCTGTCAAAAAGGCTGTGACAACAGTGCAGTGGGATTCCCAGGAACCTTCTGGTTTGCTCTCGGAATGCTCTTGGTTCTCTTTCATGTGTTTTTAGTCCCTCAACGGGCAGCTTGTAGAATTTATTCTGGGACTTAGAGGTTGAGCAGGGTGGGCTCTGGATTGACTTTCGCCTCCGGTGCCACTTTGTGCGAACACAACTTGGCCAGGCTGGGTGAACTCATGGCCTCAGCTTTCCCCTCCAAAATGTCCCTCACTTATTTCCCTGCGGGTGAGCTGGGATTTGGCCCCAGACTGTCACTCCTCACCTCCCCGTGCCCGCACAGTGTCCGTTCTGTTCCCCACAGAGCCCTGGGGACACCAGGGGGTCCCTTCGCCTTCTCCCGCCCCTTTCCAGCCCGAGGCTCCTCTGCCCTTGTCCCACACAGCACAGGGGCACAAAAGGGGAAAGGCTCCAGAAAACATTTCTGCAATTAACCAGCAATTATTTCAATTCCCCAGTGAGAAGAACATGAACTCACAGCCACCGAGGCCTGACAGGTTCCTGCAGTGAGAGCTCAGCGCTTGTCTGCAGAGGTGAGTGCAGCATCTGAAAGGAAAAAAACACAGGGGAAAAATGTGATTTATTTTGCTTCAAAGTTATTTCAAGTTCTTAAAGCCCAACCAACTTTTCTCTTGATTTTGGTCGGGTGAAACAGGAGCAGTGGGCAGAGGTTGTGCCTGATGCTTTCTAGGGCAGAAAAAGTAGATTAAACTCACCTTATGTCAAGTAGTTATTAAAACAGATTTATAGCTCTTTAAACATAGCACCCTTTAATTGCCATAATGTTTCTTCCATGAGTTTAACTAATTCTCAGTGTATTTTATAAAACTTAAAATAACACCTCCTCCTCATAAAAGAGACCCATCAACCATTAGACAAAAAGCCCTAGTGCCAGTCTCATGCTTGCACATCTAACAGGAGACCCTCCCCATAACCAAACAAAAAATCAAAATAATGTACCAAAAGTAGTCCTTACTAACATTAAAAATACAACTCAACCATATCCAAAAAACCCTCACCTTTATTTCCTCCAAACACCAAATACTCTTCAAATTCTAAACAACAAAAACCATCAAAACATACTTCAAATATAGAAAAGCCTAACCATATAAATAAATATTTGTCAAAGCCCACAAAAATATAAAATAATATAATCAATATCCTACATTTAAAAAAACCCACTATACAAATTAGTACCATTTGAAATGTAACAAATAAAAATCTTTTACCAAGAAACATATCTCCCAATAAATAAAACCACCCTGTAAAGATATAAGTAATAATCATAACTAAACAATCTAAAATTTCTCTAAAACCAAGACTTAAAAAACCTTCAATATTTATAAATAACAACCTTCAATATGTTAAGTATTAATAAAATCAAAGTTAAATTTCACTACATTAAAGTGTAAATATTCTTAAATTTTATTTTATTACTTTAATATTCTATTAAAATTAAGTTTATTATTCCTTGCTATTAAAATTCATTCAGTCTAAATTTAAATGTTATTAAATATAACTTCTCCTAAATTTTATTAAAAATCATTTATCTAAACTATACAATATATGGTTAATTTTCTTAAACAAAATAAAACAACTCCAATTAAAACAACTAAAATAAAACACTAACAAACACCTACTCAGAAGTAAAAGAAATACAGCGTGTTATATCATCAATTTCATAAAAAATTCTGTTCTTCATTACAATCTCTACTATTTTTATCTTTTATAAATAACACCAAAAAAATAATTACTATTAATATCACACTATTTTGAAATTTTTACTCTATTTCCTTAATACATAAATATTTTTTAAAAGTTATCCTAACTTCTTCAAACACTTACTACTAACATACTAATTATGTAATAAAAAGATATTAATTTTTATAATAAACATTATTTATAGAATATTATTATAATTTTACAACCAACTTTCTATAATCTCTTTATATGATTATCTAAAAGACACATAAAATTTCTAAATCCTACTTTTTTGATTCTCTATTTATACACCTCTTAAACCAAGTTAACTCTCTAACTAATCTCTACACTAACTCTATAATTTAACCTGATGTTATCTCACAATTTTAAATATTTTTCAAAATTAAAAAAAAAGAAAAATGAAATTTCATTAAAAACCTCCTCCAAACATTCACTTTCCTCAGTTATTACACAAACACTTTAATATAAAATCCAACTACAACATTAATTTATTTTTCTAAGTTTCACACTAAGTAATCACTCTCTCATACATTTTCTCCACCTTCACACTCTCAATATCCAAATCCAAAATCACAATCCTGTCTATAACAACTTTCAAATCGTTAAAAAAAAGTTAACTATATTCAAAGCATCTCTATTCTAGGAAAACTTCTAAAATGTAATTAAGCTTTAATCCTAAAATTTTTACTCTTAACTACTATTTTTGAAAACATTATATAAAAATATAATATAAAAACTAACATCCACCAATTAAAATTTAAACTGTAACCAAACCCTAACTCTACCTAAATAAAATAATTAACAACAAACCCAAAAACTTTCTACATCAAAGATAAAATTCAAATAATTTTAACTTAACAATATAACTTTATCAATATAACCAATAAACTTATTTTAAAAATAAACTTAAGAAATCATTATCCACACATATTTATCCAACTTTCCACTAATTTAACATTTATCAACTGTTATAAACTCTTAAATAATGTACAATCTTTTAATACTTACTAATGATATAATTCCACCTATGTTACTAATTATAGATATTATCTAAGTAATTCCTAATTACCAATTTCTTCTTTACTACATACATTATTTTACTCTTATATTTCTTCATACTTAAAACTAAGAAGTTATAATCATAACAACTTATGCCATTATCTTGCAAATCTCTATACAATTTTATAAAACAAAACTTAACTATACCTTATTTCTCATATCAAAACATAAAGTTTACTTATATCTCAACAAGTACAAAAACCCAAGTCAATTTCAATAAGAAACATAAAACCAGATCACACAAAAACCACACCCACCACTCCATAAATAAAAAAACTAAAGTAAACACAAACATAAATTACACAATGTAAATACAAATGTAAGTTACACAAATGTAAATTACACAAGAATTGCAACTTACACCTAATATCTTGTACTACACCCATTAAAACTGTAAACATTAGGTTTCTTTATAAATATAAAAATCAATAATATTATAAAAATCTAATTATTAACTTACAAATTTTAAAATTTTATCAGATAATATACTTCTACTCTATTTACTTTTAATTATCACTTTACCATTTAACCAACCTAAACCAAACATTTAAGTAACTTTAACTAAAGTTTCAAGTTTAAATACTTTGTATTTATCTATCACTACTCAAAAAAATCCATTCTTTACTTACTTACTTAATATACCAATAAAAAACATTACAAATAATCCATATAATTTAAAAGCCTTACATTATTAACTCTTAATATGAAAATAATTACCAATGTGAAACAAAAAAATAATTTATCCATCAATAGTAATCAAAATATAAAAGTAATTTTAAGCCTTGAAACTTAAAATAAAAATAGTAGCATCACTTTTTATACCACCTATTATTTAACAACCCTAAAACAATTAAAATATTATCTAAATAAACAATCTAATTCTACATCCCTTACACTAAATAACTTTTTAATAACTATCAAAAATATTAAACATGCAGTATTACAAAAAAGCAACAATAAATTTTCTTTTATTAACACACAAACATAAATATAAAAATTTAAATAAAATGTATAAATTTATCTAATCACTCGAAATTTATTTATAAAAATGTACAACTTTAAGAAATATCAAAAATAAGAATAACTAATAAAACTTAACAATTTATTTAATAAATAAAATTTAACACCAAAGTGAAGAAATCTTATAACAAAATTATACATTTTAATTATTATAATGATAATACTACTAATGAATATACCTTATTTACATTAATATATGCAACAAATGCTTAACAAATCCATTAATAATTTTTTTTTTAATACAGAAAGAGAGGGGAGACGTGGGAATGGGAAAAGCAGAAAGTGCCACAGGCACTGACAGCTCTGATCCGCAGCCTCGGGAGGAGCTGGGACACAAACAGAAGACACGGACCCTCTCCACTTCCCTGGAAAACTGCTTCAGCCCCGGGCTGTACCAAGGTGAGCACAAGTCTGGAGAGGTCAGAACCCTCACCTGGACTGCTGCACTCGGAGTGAGATCCAGCTACAAATGGAATTCCAGAAACAGCCTCCAAAATGTTCCATAATCACACCTTTAAAATGGCTCCACAGGGCAACAGCTCCAGTGCCAGAGCAGCACCTGCACGAGTCCTTGTGCCAGCCCTGGCTCCCTGAAAAACACAATAAACCAACATCACACAGGCCTTGTTTGCAGAATTCCTGATCCAAACCCTCACCTTTCCTGCCCAGCACTGAAGGAAATCTGACACGGTATTCACAGGTAACCTTTGCTGAGAGCAGCCATCACCCCAGTCCTCCAGCCTGGGCAAGGTTTTGCAGTGAATGGACCCAACTTCTAACCCTGAACCTAAATTTCTGTCAGCTTTTGTTAGAAAGAGACTGGAGAGAAAATCATACAACAGATTTAAAACATTGCACGAGGAATAACCGGCCCAGACAAAACCAAACCACCCCCATCTCTGCTCCACCCCATTTCTCCCAGTTTTGGGAGAAATACTGATATAATTTGCAAATACTCTCCTTCCCTGTTGCACTATCCTTCACTGCACGTCCCTGGAGAGGATTTACTCCATTTTCTGTGCCCAGCAGCACCTGTGCAGCCCAAATCCCACTCCTCGCAGACACAGCCTGAGCAGAGCTCAGGCAGTGTTCCCAGCAGCGGATGCAATTCCGAGTTCCCTGGATTGCTCACGGGGCACTCGCAGCAATCTCCCCTCAGCCCAGACTCTGTGCTCAGAGGGAAGCGCAGCCCGATGGGACACAGCTCTGGCACCACATTCCCCTTGTTCCTGCTGGCCTGGAAAGCCACAGATAAACCCAGTCCCTCCGACCTTGCACCCTGAACCCCAGGAGAGCCGGAGCTGACCCCAGATCCCGGCGCCCTGCACGGCTGCGCTGACACCAGCACAGGCTGAGCGCCGCCCAGCACCCTTCCTCATTTTCCTCCCTCTGCTCCCAAATCCTGCCAGCCCTCCCCTGCAGCTCCAGCCCCAGCAGAGGCTGGCACCCAGCCCTGCAGCAGCTGGCAGAGCTGGGAATGCACCGAGAGCTCGGCTCCCCGGGCTCCCAGCCCCAGACCAGTCCTTGGGTGCCCGAACAATGCCCAGCCTGCCCCCCTGGGCACAGCCAAACACCACAGCTCCGTCAGCCCCAAGGAACTCTGGCATTTGCCTCTTCCCTGCTGCCCTTTCCCAGCACACAGGGGTACGGCTGGGCTGTCAGAAATGGCATTCCCGAGGCACTTAATCCCAGCAGAGAGGAAAAGGGGAACCCTGCGTCCCTCTGACTTACCCCACAGCGTGGGCAGGACCAGGAGCCCTCCAGTGCACCCCCCTGGTGCTGAAGCCTCTTGGCTCTGGCTGCTTAAACACTGAAGCTTCTGGCAAAGATGGGAGGAATTTAATGATTTCTCCTGTCCTGAAAGAGAGGAGGAAAAGAACATTAAGTCCACTGTGGAAGCCAATGGATCCCGGCTTTCACACTTCTGCTGTGATTGCTCACCAGGGGGTTTTATCCATGAGAGGGGACAGCAATTCAAATATAAAAGCATTTTTATTCCTAACTATTTCATTAAAAGGAAGCTCATTTCTCTATTGCATTCTTAGCCTAATTTTAACAGAACCATTTTTATCCCAGGCCCCACTTGTCCGTCATTCAATCCTTTACCAAGGGTACTTTATACAAAGGAAGGGATACCTGGTGCTGTGTCACAAGAAATCCCAAAGAGAAACGTGTCCAAAACCTCACAGAGAAAGGTTTCAAGGCACTCCAGTGCACAGACAGCTGCTCATGCCTTGTCAGGCCACACCAGTTCTGTCACATCCACCTGAGCTGTGCAGGCGAGGCAAAGGCTGCCCTTCCTCCCAGGGAACACTGTCTGAGACCACAGAGAGCCATCCTGGGTGAAAGGAATGAAATGAAAATGTTTTCTGGCAGAAAATGAGTGTCTGTAATCAGAACCTCTGGACAGATTTAGTAACACCATTTTCATATGATAAATACAGGCCATGCCCATCCTTCCAGGCCAGGTGAAACCAGGAAGGAGAACTAGAGGAAAAGCAGGAAGACAGTCCCTTATTTGGATTTATTTCCTAAAGACTCTTCTGCATTGCAAGCTCTTTGTGTTCTTTAAGAGAATGCATTGCTGCTAAAAAGATCTCAGGCCCGTATTTTATCAGGCACAACCAGGACAAGCTGAGCTACAGCTGGAGAGGCAGGGAGATGCAGGAACTTGGCACAGCGAGGAGAAGAGCAGGGGAAGCAGGGGAGGTGTGGGGGGAGAGCTGGAGGAGTGAAGGAATGGGCATTGTCTTGTTTAGAGTCGTCAGTGCTGGGAACTTGGAAAAGGCTTGGTGCTGGATGCACCACGGACACAATGCCCCTGGTTTGGTGGTTTGCCTTTGCTCCTAAGCTTTGGCTTCACCCCTCTCCAGAGGAGCAGGGAATTCCTCCAGGGTGAGGGGGAGTCTGGTCCCACTGCAGGATGTGTCCAGTAAAGGAGGGAAGTTGTTTAGAGTAAGTGAGCAGTGTTTTTGTTACACACAAAAATTACCCCTCATGAATCTTACCACAATGCATCTTTCATAGTTCTATTTCTCTAAAGTATCTAGTCTCATTTACAAACTCATCCTTTAAAACTTGTTTCCAGTTCCATTTCTCTCTCAAGAATGTCTGTCCTATTCCATGGCATTTCTAAGTCAGCATTTCTTATCTCAAATTTTCCATTCAGATACATACTATGTAAACCTTCTGTCAAACTCTGACAATTTTCTACAAGTCCATTTCCCACAGCAGAACTGCTGCCTGCCCAGCACAGGAGCTGCAAGTGCTGTTGCAGGGCACAATGTCTGAAGGAACACTGGAGCTGTGACATTAAAGCCAGCAAAAACAATTACTAAGTAGAAAGAGATCCTCACCTGCTCCAAGAACTGAACCTCTGTGGCTCTTCCTCACGGGGTGACCCTGCTCCAGGGAGGAATCTCCACACAGTCCCCGAGACCTGGGGTCAGATGCCGCCCTACCAGCAGAAGAACAAGGGGTTAGTGAAGCTTTTTGGACACATTCTGTCCTCAGAGTGGTCTGACAAAAAACCCGTCAATGCGGATCTTTAATAAAGGCAGCTGGTACCTATGCTTGCAACAGACTTTCGTGTGCTATTTCCTCAAAGTCTCTGTTTTAATGCATTTGATACTAAAAGTGTTTCAACAAGATTTACCATGAGCTCTGCACCCTGCCATGCTCCAAGCCCTAAGGAAGAGCTGGATATCCTCACACTCACCCAAGCTGAGGCAGCTCTCACATGGGGAGGGAGCTGCTGCAGCATTTAACAACACTTAAAAATCACCCCTGCCTTGAGGGCGTCCAGACCTGGGAGAAAGCCCTTCCCTCCACCCTCTTGGATTTCTCTCCCTGCCACTGGCTTTGCTTCCAGCTTGGGAAGGTTTGTCCTGGGGCCATTTCAGCAGCACAAAGGGCTTTTCCAACCTCAGGGGTTCTACGGGAGCTCAGTGACTGACCCAGCTGTGCACCCAGGCACGGGGGAAGCTCTAAACACAGATTATCCTGCCCTGGGCCAGAGCACTCCAGGGCATCCTTGGAACAGCTGCAGAGAGCAGGAAAAAGACACAGCTGCAGCACTGATCCTGCTCCCGCTTTCCCAGAGGGGCAGGAACACCATTTCCTCCCGATCCTGAGAGCTCCAAGGGAAATCCCTGTTAGGGTGGCACTGAAGGTGCCACTTTTCTGCCACCCTTGCCCTAGAACCACGGCCCAGCAGGTTTCTGTGGGAGCGGGGATTGTTGGTGCAGTTCAGAAGCTGCACATCCCTAAAGCATTTCCTTAGGAACATGAAGCTTCCCACGTGCATTTTGTAGTCCGGTTTGTAAATTCAGCGTATTTCAAGAGAGTTTAAATCGGAATGAGGTGACTTGGTGCCAGCACAGCATTAGCTATGGGCCATCAGGAGACTCACCAGACGACATTCTCTGCAGAGCCTCCATTCTCAGCACTCCAGCTGCAGTATTCGCATTTCTCACGGACTCCGAGCTGTGTTTCCAGGGCTCCCATCAGGAAACTGGCGGCCGCTTCCAGGTGCAAATCCCCAGGGCACCCCTGATCCCAACCACTGCTCCTCTCCCCCCGGACCCCCCTTCCTCCACCTTTACCCCTTTTATAACCACGGCCCGCCCAGGACACAAAATGAGGCTCCCAGGTGCCTCCTGAGACCCAAATCATTCCAGGTGCATCAGGAAATCAATAGAAATAAGCTCATCCCTTTTGGGGTTATGAATTATCTTTTTCTCTATTCCCCCTTCTGTCTCCTGCTCCTGTTTCCTAAGGCAAAACACCTGGACCAGGTGGGGGTCGGGGGAAAATGTCAAAACCGAGCCAAACTTGTTTTTCCAGCGGTTTCCATCAGGACTGTTCAGGTTTCCCCCGACCCTCGGCCGTACCACGGGAGCAGCTTCTCCGTGCGACCCCCGGGGGTGGCACAGGGACCCCACCCCGCTGCTCCCCGGGAAACAGAGCCCAGCGCAGCCCACAGAACCGCGGCAGCGCAGCTGGGAGCGCGGCGCGGGCTTTATTCCCTGGCACACGATCCCGGGGAGCCCCAAGTGCCGGGACAAACCCGTCCCGCACACGGAGCATTTGCTGCAGGGGATGTTTCTGAGGGGATCCGCCCGCGCTGCTCCGGCCCCGCCCCGCCCGCGGCCCTGAGGCGAGCGGCGGCCCCGGCTGTGGCGGGCGGCGGTGCTGCCGCCGTGTGGGCAGAGAGCGGCACTGCAGCCCCCGGCCGGCCCTGCCCGGCCCCTCACGGCGGGAGCGGCCTTGTCTTATTGCTTTGCCGGATTAAAAAAGCCTCATATATAAAAATAGACCAAATGAATGAAGAATTTACAAACATCTATATTTTGTGTTAGGAATTGTGTTAAAATTAGGAAAACAGCTGAAGACACTGATTTATACAACTGTGACTATTTCAGGCAATGAAGGTTTACATATCACAGTTTAACAAGATAAAAGATCTCCCACAAAATACATAGATGACAGACAACTCATCTGAATTTGACAAAACACAGCATCGAGTACACATGTAATGTGATGAACAGTGCCAGGTCATTCCCCAGTTAGGTAACATACAACCTCTTGAATAAGGCAATTCAAATATAACTCTTAATTCAAATCACAACATACCCAGGCAGCATGCAGGGAAAAGTCATTTATTTTGTATATTGAAATGACACAACTTGCAACATGTTTCCATTTCATGTAGTTAGAGCAACAGGATATAAACCATTCAAATAATATATATATATATATTTTTATATATATCTCAAGTCAACAGTTGTCTTTACTGGAATAAAGATTATCTGTTTTTGGTAAAAATAAAACTATTTGAATTCACTAATTAACAAAATGCACAGTGATCAGAAACCCAATTCTTCTCACCATTGTCTTTCCCTGGCTCACGTGCGTTTCCCTGCCGGGGTTCAGAGAGCCCAGAGGAACAAAGACCCCTGGCAGGCTCTCCCCAGGGCTGCCGTGTGCCCCCCACGCCCCATGGCAGCAGTGCTCCCACCACACCCATCACACCTATGGCTTGGAAACGGCTTTTCCCACCTCCGTTCCCAAAAAAACACTTACACACATGCCTGACTTTGGGGGAATCAAAAGCTGAATTGCTTGTGGAAACACATTCACTGGAACAGGGCTTTGATTTCTTTTTTTACCAGTTAATTCCTCCAGACCTTTATGACCAAGACGTTTAAGAAATTGTGAATTTGCTCAGAAGGGAAAAAAATCTGAGCCAAAAATCTCTTTGAAGTGGTGGAGCCTAACAGAGGTGGCTGAGGATTTATTTCCATCGCAGCAGACCTGGGGATCACAGAAGATAATGAAGGTTTTCCCTAGTATTGAAAAGTTCTTTCAAAAGGGAGAAATGAAGAAGAGAAAGATTTTTTTCTACAACAAAAAATAAAAGTCTAGTCATTTCTCAAAGGCTGGTCTAGGCAGCTTCTCCACGGTAAAAGGCTGTACTTCCCCTGTTTTGGCTGGATACCTGCAGGGATGGATCCTCTTGCTGAAGCATGCCCTGGTGGCTGGGTGTCCCCTGCCCCGTCCCCAGGTGAGGCAGGGGCAGGCCTGCATGCCAGCAGGATTCCCTGTGCCATGGTTCAGGGCTGCTGGCAGCAGCAGGGAGGGAATGGCTTTGGACTGAAGCCCCACAGAGCTCCGGGTGAGGGTTCCCCATGTGCCACGGGGCCTATTCAGGGCTAATAAATAAATCATGCCCACACATAATGAAGAGGCTAAGATTGGATGCAAGGGGATCCAAATGCCCCAAGCCAGGGGAAGGGGTTCTCGGGAGATTTCTCCCCTTTGGGTAAGCCACACAGCAGCCACAGCAGCAGCAGCAGCCAAGGTCTTCCTGCTGGACAGCTGGCCCAGGCTTCCAACCCGTCTGTCAGCCAGAGGAACTACGGGAGAAACCGGAGCTCAGAGTGATTCTTACTGGATCCTGTTTATCACCTTTGCAGAGTTGTCTCGTGCCTCCCTACTATTCTATTTACTGCTCTAGTAAAAAAATCACTGGAATATTTCTTTGCCCTTAAAGATACAAAAAAAAAAAATCTTCAAAAGATATGGGGAGAAAGGTCCTTTCACAATGACATTCAGAGCAAAAAGAGAGAAACGACATCTTACAGATCATTAGAGAGCTATCTTTGGCAGAATATTTAAAATAAATTATTTTTACAAATATTTTCTGCAGTCATATATTTATTTTGAATAGTTCACTTTCAGCTATAGGGTTCACTACTCTCTATTGATAGGAAAACACCACAAATATAAAAATATATGAGCTCAGCACAACTTTTAGGCTACCACGACTGTGTCCAATAATTTCAAAAGTTGTAGATTGATAGCACGGAGAATATGAAACAGGTTTTCTGACGGCGTGTGTCAGGTTAGGAGGTCACGGCAGGGAGGGCGGCTGGCTTGGTGTGGGAAGGAGCTGGAATGCCCGAAGCCAGTCCCTGCCCTCACCGGCCGCCCTCCCTGGGGAAGGGTCTCCCTCGGACCCCAAGGCTCAGAGAAGTCCTGGGCTGGGAGCGGGTGGCCGGCACCACCCGGGCGGGCTGCGAGCTCCCGATGGGCCCGGCCCTGCGCCATGCCCGGCCCTGTGCCGCCATGCCCGGCCTTGTGCCATGACCTGTGCCATGCCCGGCCCTGTGCCGCCATGCCCGGCCTTGCGCCATGCCCTGTGCCATGCCCGGCCCTGCACCGTGCCCCGCAGGGAGGCCGAGGCGGCCACGCTTGCTCCCCAGGCCGCCCCCGGTCACCTTGGGAAGGAGGCAGCGTGAAATGCCTTCGGACAGCATTTTGTGTGGGGAAAGCACCGAGGGAGCCGCAGGCTGCCCGTGCACCATGGCCAGGCCCTGCCCCGGGCCGTGACCAGGACCCAGCTGGCAGCCCCGAGCCACGGTGGCCGTGCCTGGTCCCAATCCCCCTGCAGCAGTGCCACCGAGTCCACCAACATCTAGATTTACATATTTTGCTTTGTTTATACAGCATGTACAGAATATACAGCATCGGACAATTATTTCCCAGTAGACTGGAAGTGTCTCCCAAGATGACCTCTTTTATCAACAAATATATATATAAATCGACAGTAATAAAAGAGTTGTACCAACAAATATTATGGCTTTTCAAATAGTGTAGCTGCATTGTGCCATTGAATTTGTGAGGAACTGTGACAGAGACAGAGAGACGGGGGGGCTCCAGCTGCTCTGAGCCCGGCAGTGACCCTCAGCTGGGCAGGGCCAGCTCGTGGCGCCAAGCACGGCGCAGGTGGCACAGGGAAGGTGGAGTTCAATTTGTGACCCATGCTCTGGTTTCTGTCTCCAGGCAAACCAGCTCTCCTGCAAACTCTCAGCCCAGCTTTGGAATAATTTGGCTCTGTCCAGCTGGGGTGTGCCTGCCCTGTCCTGGCTGGGGGGACCAGGGGGCTGGCTGGACTGTCAGAGATCTCCTTCTCTCTCTCTCTCTCTCTCTCTCTCTCTCTCTCTCTCTGTTTCTCTCTCTCTCTCTCTCTCTCTCTCTCTCTCTGTCAAGGTTTGCACAAGACGTCTGTCTGCCCTAGAGTGCCTTGTGGCTGTGAGGGGGACACACACAGGGTGATGGGTGACAGGATGATGGTGGCAGGTGGCTTTGGGTGCGTCAGGAAGGGTGGTCACAGCCTCCTCCCTGCCTGCCTGCCCCATGCTGCTCCGGGGGCAGGGGAGCTCCCCTCGGGCTGCTGAGCAGGGGCACATCGGTGGCTGCCAGAGGAGAGCAGGAAAGAGACAGCCATTCTTTCTGCAGCACATCCAAAATTCCAGAAGACAAATTGCCCTGGCAGTGCTGTCCCCAGCCACCACCCTGGCATGGGGTGCCCGTGAGGAGACTCACCACACGCCTGCTGCCTGCCTCCCCTCACGGGCTGCATCCAGGCACCAGCTGTCCCCATCACCTTTCAGGCCCAGTGAGGCACTTTGAGCTCCTTCCCTCCTGCATCCCACTGCTCCTGGGAACTCTTGCTGTGGGGAGCACGCCTGGGACAGCTGGACACTCTTTCTGTGGGGAGTGTCCAGCAGCTCCCTGCCCGAATGTCCCTCCACTCCTGAGGGACATGGATTACATCTCTGCCAAGAAAGATGTGTTTCTTTCTGAGATGGTTACTCTAGAAGGAGGAGGAGATTGTTCAAGGGTGTGGAAATGACTTTTGAGAACTGGAGTGGTCACTCAAGCACCAAGGTAATTGAGCCACTTCATTACAGCGGAAAATAAGTGATGGATCTAAATTACCCCGACTGTAGGGGTTTTTAACTAATTCTCATCTCATTTATCTCTCCTTTGAGATATTATGTCCACTCCTTGCAGGCCTCTCTGGCTGATGCTTCCAGGAGGAAGCCCAGGGAGCCCAGGAGCCTCCTTTGGCTGTGCCTGCGGGATGCTGAGCCGCTGAGCCCTCACTCCGGCAGCGATGTGGGGAGCGAGTGCCAAGGGGCACCTGCTGCCTTTGAGATGGGGGAGGTTCCCCAGCACTGCCTGCCAGTCTGGCTGCTTTTTGCTGGCAATATCCTGTGGGCTTGTCCTTGGGGTGGCAGGTGGAACGTGGTCTGTCTTCTTGCTTGATTAGTGGTGACGTTCCCACGCGGTGAACGCCGGTGTGCCAGAGACCTGTCCGGGCAGCCTGGGACAGCAGGAGGGAGAAAGATGCCCACCACTGCTGAGTGGTCTTCAGGAAGTTCATGATTTGGATTTTACAACCTCATGCCAGGTCTTCTTGGCACAGAGACCCAGGATACAAAGGGCTGCATTTCACAAACCTCTACGTTTTGTGGGCTTTGCCAGCAGGGCTGTGTGTCTTCCAGCAGGAGCTAGGAATCCTAGGAGAATACACCACCTCTGCCCTTTGTCCACAAATAAAACTGCAGGACTGCTGAGCAATGTCCTCGACAGGTAGTCTTGAGAGCTGGACTGTGTGCAGAGCTGTGCCTCCTAATGCTTAATGCATTATGGAAAACAGAAGTAGCATAAGTATTGTCAGGGAAAAAATAAATAACATTTTCCTCCTTGCTAACACAGTGCCTGCGATGTAAGAGATATTATTGCCATCTTTTGCTCTCTTGAGCTGCAGAAAATAGTGTATGTTTCCTGATTAAGAGCAAGACAAGCAGGGCTCCTGCAAGGCTCCCTGCATGGGCACATTTTTCTCAAGAGCTCAAAAGATGAAGGAGGCAACATGGGGCAAGCAAATGAAGACACAAACAGGCATGAGTTTGTTCTCATTTGAGCAGGGGGAGTTCAGCCAAGGGCCAGCTCATCACAGCTCCTACTGCAAGGAGAGGCCAGGGCAGGGCACAGGGCTGGAGCTGAAGCCAAGGGAGGCATCTCAGCATTACATGAAACAAGCAGAAATCCACTTGTGCACCTCCCTACATCCTTGGGAGTCACAAAGCTACTGGTTTGTGAAACCTTCCATTAATGCTCCCAAACAAGCTCTGGGACACATTTGCACTGCCAGGATCCAACCTCACCCATGCCAGCCCAGCAATTTCATGGGCACTTGGAAATTCTGCATGTTTCTAAGTGTCTCTGCAAAGCAGCTCATCTGCCAGAATCCCACACTCCTTGAGCAAGGAGCCTGACAGAGGCTGTGGGCTGGGGCAGAGGGGCACACACTCCTGGGGATGGCAGTGCCATGGACAGGCAGTTTCCACCAGGAAAGCAGAGCAAGGCTGTGTTCCATGCAGGTCTCGTCCTCCCATCCATAGTCACTCCTCTGAGGTGGAAGTAATGGAGGAGAAATAAATCCCACCTCCACAAAGAGGTCGGGAGGTGCAGGGAGAGAGCCCTGTGGCAGTCTCCCACATGCTGCAAGGCTTTAGGAGCTCTAAGTGTGGATAAGCATCCCAAACCATTGCAACTTGCTCTGCTTCAACTGCCCATTTCAAGCAAGGGCAGAAAAGCCTTGAACCCACAGATAAAGCAAATTAGTTTGTTTTGGAAGCAGAGAGGCATGTTTGGGTTGGTGGGTGGAGTTGGAGCATCTGTGGGACTTGATAATGGTGGCAATTCAGCAAAAAATCTTCCACAGACTAAAGAGTGAAGGACAGTGGCACAATAAAAACTGTGCCTGTGGGTGGTGGCTGTGACTGTGCCTGGGTGATGAGCAGGAGGGTTTGTGGGGTTTGTGTGGAAAGTTTGCCTGCTCCTTGGTTTTAGGGACTCAGATCCACCATGTGGGGTGGTTCATCTTTGCCTTGAGACACAAACAGCAAGGCTGAGCCAACAAGTGTCAGTGCAGTGAGGAAGGAAATCTGTCCCACGCAGGGAACCCCCAGCTGTGGGGCAGGAGGAAGGGACAGAGGATGCTTCTCTGCAGGGAGCTTGGGAGAAGATGGAATATGAAGAGGCTTCACAGGGGAGGCAAGCACAGAGCAAGCCACAGCTGGATTGCCACAGAGTGTAGATTTTGGGACCTTGAGATGGCTCGAGGCAGAAGGTGGAGGACATCAGGTGGGATGACTAATGGTCCTTCCCAGTGCTGCCTGAACTGGGGTGGGCTGTGTACTGGGAGGGCCAGAAAGCCTTCCTGGTGCAGAGCAACAGACCAGAGGCTGTTTGGCTCAAAGAGATAAAAATGCTGTCTGGGGTTGGTGCCCATGGACAGCCAGAGGAGCTGGAGGCTGTGCTGTGTCTGTGCAGAAATCGAGGTGCATGCCCGTGCCCGTGGCAGCCAGGGCAGGGGACATGCCGTGGCAGTGCTTGAACAGGGTCTCTGCATCTGGGACCCCTTGGCACTTGTCCCTTCCCCATGCCCTCCGGTGCTGGGCATCCCACTGGAACACCCAGCTCCAGCAGGGCTCCACAGCACTGCTTTGGGAACAGGGGGTGCCCCAGCGCCCTCCTGCACACTGTGCTGAGGGCAGCCCCAGGCTGGCATTCCCTTTGGGAAAGGGGAAGGAACCAAGGGTTGGTGCAGAGCCTGCAGGAGAGGGTGGTGACCTCTCCTGGGGGCACTGAGTCCCAGGGGCAGGGCTGGCCATCCTGGAGATGTGCCAGAGGGACAGCAAGGCCCTGTGGAGACTCCCTGGATGCTCTCAGGGCATCCCACGGGCAGCAGATCCACTGGTAGCAGCGAGCTCCTGCCTGTCTCCGCTGAGAGCAGCTCCAGCTTGGCCAGGCAGGCCCCTTTCCCCTGCAGTGTCCCTTCCCTCCGTGGGAGGGGTGCTGCTGGCTGGCAAGAGGTTCTTGGCACCTCCAGTTCCAACAGCAGAAAGGCTCAAGTCCTTAAAAGGTGAGGAATCTCAGTGTATTTATTGTCCCTGGGCGCTTTTTGCAAGAATACGGACGCCTCTGGATGCTTTCCTGTCCAAGTCATTTTTTTACAAGATAAACAGGCTTTTCCACAGCTGTGCTGAGCATGTGTATAGGCATCAGTAGTCGGTCATTGCATGCTCAGAGAGGCCAGAGAGGTTCCTGGTGCTCTGCAAACACGTTTCTCCAGGTGGGATTGGGTGCCAAAGCTTACAGAAAATAATGCAAGGCTTTGTCCTGGAATTACACTGTCCAGCATTAAGTTTTCTGTCACTTTCTGGCTATGCTCAGCTCTGTCCCTCCAGGAATGTGGTTGAACTTCCTCCTGAGTTATGTATATGGCCACCAATGCAGACGATTCTTACCCGAGAATTTAAAAATAGCTGTAACAATAACACAGGGGCTCTGCTGCCCCAGGCCCTGCCTGCAGCAGAAATAGTGCAGGGAGTTCACAGCCAGGCTCGTGACCAGGGCGGGCTCCAGGCCTCCCTTCTCCCCTCTGTCCTTTCGGGGTCAGGGATGAAGATGCACAAAGGATCTTGCGACTACCCCTCGCTCCAGGGACACCACAGCTGCCTGGCACGGGGTGATATGGGGGCAGGAGGCTGGTTTGGGTGGATGTGAGGGGTTCACACCTTGGCATTGAGCAGCTCCTGGCACAGGTGGCAGTTGGGGTGGGCTCAGCCACGAGGCACTGCAGACTGTGGCTCTTTCCTTTTCCTCTGCCTGTCTCTGAGCGTTCGGGCTGCCATGGGATTTGCCTCCCTGCCTGCTGAGCCCTGAAGAGCTGGCAGTATGGTTTGTCCAGGATGGCTGGGCTGTCACTAGTGTGCTCCTTCTGCTTGTCCCCACGTGCTTGGCAGCGGCCCGTGGAGTTATTTGGGTGTCTCCTGTCTCTGAATGTCCTTTGGACGTGTGCTGCGTCCTTTTCCATGGAAAGGTTTGCCTTTGGCTGGTGGATGATGAGAGGGGTGAGAGCAAATGGGGCAGGGAAACGGCTGGAGGCCAAGGGCGTGAACTGCTGCTTCTGACAACACCCATAAACCCAGGCCTTTATCAGAGATGCTCGATGTTCTCGCCGTGCAGGCACAGGTGGGAGGCTGGATGAGGAAGAGATGGGAGAGTTCTGCCTTGGACAGGGATCCACGGCGCTGAGCTGCGACAAGGCGTGACTGTGCCGGGGGTGTGCTTCCTCCTGCTGCCTCCCACACTGCCAGCCAGGGCTGGCTCTTCTCGGGGAGGACAGTTCTGCCTTTGGAGAGTGTGGCTGAAAGAGGAGACTGTGCAGAAGGGCAGGTCTGGCACCCTTGGGAACAGCGCTTCCTTCCCTGGCTGCTGCCCCGACCCCTCCAGGAGCACTGGGCACACTCAGGTCACACTGTGCCCAAAAGCACACAGCTGGCAGAGAGTCAGGTCACACTGTGCCCAAAAGCACACAGCTGGCAGAGAGACACTGCGTGGGCAGGGCTGGTGTTCAGCCTGTGACTTAGGCCTTGTCCTAAGCAAGCACTGCTCCATCGTTCCCTTTGGAAAGCCCTGTGAGCAGAAGAGTTATTTAGGGTCTGCTAACCTGAGTGGCCACACAAGTCCCGTTTGACTTGTTAAATACTTCAGGGCAATTCATTCTGAAGCAGCAAATGATGAGGGGAAATCACCAACATCACCTTTCAGCAGATGCAATGACTGGGTCAGAAGAGCTGCTTGGCTTTCACAGTCAGTGCCTGGGAAAAGCACACGGGCAGCGCTGGCCCTGCTCTCTGCTGGGCGTGTTGAAGGCAGTGTTTGCCCAGGACCCATCTCCAGCGCTGGTGCTTGAGTTCAGCTGTCAGAGCAGGACCTCCAGGCCTGGCAGGGAGGGTTTATCTGGGACAGCTCAACAGATACTGGGTGAGATACAGCGAGAGCAACATCCCTGGGCATGGGGAGACTTTTCTCCTCCTCAGTGCTGGCTGAGCTGTGTGGAGACACAGATGGGTCTGAAATGGCCCACAGCACCTGGACTGGGGTATGGGCAGGCACCTCCTGAGAGCAGCCCAGCCTCGTGGGGTGTCTCAGATCTGCTTTGGCACCCATGGACCCAGCCCTGGTAATGCACCTCTTGCATCCTCCCTCATAGTTAGCTGGTGGCTTAACACAGCACAGGTCACTGTGAGGCTGTAGTGAGAGCTGGAGCAGCTCCATAGAGGACACACGAAGGAAGGGCTGCTCGGTACCTTGGGGCACACCCACGGCTCTCCCCATGCCTAGGGCGAGCCAGCACTGGCCAGGGACGCAGCACAGGAGCAGCTCCTGGCCCCAGCAGGGTGGGCTGCCCTGCAGCTTTGTCCCTGGGTGGTTTCCTGCCTCCCCCTGAGAGCGAAGCAGGCTGTGAGCCCCGGCTGGACCGCAGCACACACCGAGCCTGAGGCACCATGGAGATGGAGAGGGAGGAAGGGCATGGGATGGGGCAGGGGCGGCCATGCCAAGGCACCACTGCCCCTGCCAGAGGCAGAAACGGTGAAGGCAAACCAATGAGTCAAGGAGAGATGGCTACGAAGGGGAAACAGCTGGAGGGGAGAGAAGGGTTTTCCTTAGAGAATATGCAGGAGCAGTACTGGATCCATCAGGAATCATTACAAACTTTATTTCTCTGTGCATTGTGTACCATTGATAAGGATCATCACAATTAGTGGACTCACTGCCTATAGTGGTGGGCAATACACGAAGGAAAAAATGAAGCCAAACAGATGAAAATGAAATCATTGTACATAAAGGTAATCATAAACCTGAACAACCTGCACCTGTGTTTGATTTTCCCCCAAAACAATAAGAAACAAAAAAGAAGAGCCCCAAAACAAATCAAAAGTGAAAAAAGGCTCAAGAAGAAAAAAACCCAAAACCCACAACTCCATATTTCTAGAGAAAACCTTACAGCAGGTTAATTAAAATTTCCACAGATAGTTCAAGATGAGTACAAATACCCCCAGCCAGCTGGTTATGGTACAAGCATCAGACATGGTTTTCAGCTGAGTGGGAAGAGCGCACCATGGACATGCAGGCTGGAGTTTGCCTGGCTGGAATGTCAGGAAGCCTGGCAAAGGCCATTGGGTCAGGAGACATCTCTCAACACCAGTGCCCAGTGTCTGCCCTGGGCTGTGCCCTGGGGAGCTCTACACCCACATTTCCCTGGCTCGGCTCTCTGTCCCAGCCTGCACTCCTGGCACCAGGGGGGTGATGCTCAGACACACCTCCCTGTCTCATCCTGTCCAGTGATTTCGGATTTGGAGAGTGCACAACACAGCCTGCTCCTGGGGGATGCATCCTGGCTCCGCTCCGTGGAGTGGAGTGGGAGATCTCGTACGGCCCTTCAGCCCTTACGTGGGATTACTCTGCCTCCAAATGGCTGTGGGGAAGGACCAGCTTTGAGGACTGGTCCTGATGGCTTAACACTCAGAAACAGGGGCTGTCACTACACCTCTGGGGGTACAGGGAATAGCAGGGGGCCAAGGGCTTCGAGGCAGCCACCGACTCGAAAGGCAGAAGCATGTGGGGTGCTGGGAGAAAGCCACGCTTGTTCCCCTCAGACTGCTCACCCACTCCCTGGGACCTTGTGTAACACCTCCTGTGGGCAGAGGAGGTCTCCACGCTGCCTTCAGCACGTCAGAGCACCCCATCCACACAGCAGGACAGAGCCTGAGGTCTCTGGGGTGTGGGTTTTCCTCCCCTGAAAACCTACAACTGCACGGCTGTTATTGCTTCTCATGGAACCATGCCACGAGCAGTAAGTGGGGACAGCTTTCCATCCTTTCCACCCCCGCTAAGAGGAAACAAACAAACAAATGAGCAAAACCCTATGGCAAAACCGAACTAACTAAAAATAAATAAAACCCAGTGAAAAGAAAACGCTTGTAATCTGCAATGCTCAACCCACACCGTTGGAAGGACTATCGCTATAGGATGCTATATACAGATAGATTTCATTTCATTCATGCAAATGTTACAAGTACCACGACAGCATGCCCGAGGAGGCGGAGGAGTGGGAGGAAGGCTCCCGCCGCTCCGCGCAGCCTCGGCTCGGGACACGGGACACGAGGCTGCGGCTGTGCACCCCCAAAGCATGGACAGGGAAAGGTGAGGGGCATGTGGGTGGGAGATGCTAGTTGTACACACGCCAAAACGAAACAAAAAACTAACCCCAAATCAATGACGAAAACGGTTTGTGTTCTATCCTTAGAAAGCTCCCAGTTTCCCCTTGTCTTCAGTTCGGTCTCTCGCTCCTCTCCAGCAGGGCCCGAGGGCCTGTTCCCGAGCGGCGAAGGCGGCTGGATGGCGGTGGGAGATCGGAACCCTCGCTCTCCTCTCCTTCCCCTGCCCACTGCTCTGCTGCTCACCAGCTACTCTGGCCTTCCTCACACCGGCGCACCGCGGTTGCCTTCACATCCTGTTCCCGGGGCCGGCGGGTGGGAGTCAGCACTGGAAGGGGCTCGGAGGCCATCGGCCGCTCCTGTCGGTCGAGCTGCAGGAAGGGCCCTGCCCCTGGCTCCTGCCTGGGGCCGCTGCCTGGGGAAGGTCCTGCCGGCTTTGGGGTCCTGCCTAGTTCAAAGGATGCTCCAAAGCCGCTTTCCATCAGCAGGTGTGTGAACATGGCAAATCTCTTTTATTCTTTCTTTGTTCATTATACATAGCTTTATATCTATATCTATACCTATATATCACTCTATATAGATATATATAGATATACACATATTTACTATCTCTGATTGTCCCTTTAGAAGCCCTTTATGTGGCAGTAGGCTTCCAGAGATGAGAAGAATATGTACAAGAGCCAGAGGAGGATAAAGAGTGAGGATGTGAGCAGCTTGGAAGTCCGCGGCCCGCCCAGCTCACCTCCGATCTCGGGTCTCCGCCGGTAGAGCAGCACTCCCACACTGATAAAAGCAAAAATAGTGAAGAGGGTGACGGAGAAGGCCAGTGTGCCAGGGGAGACTTGGAAGGCTTGTCCGTGAGCCGCGTGGTAGATGGCTGCGATGGACCAGGCCACCCCAATGCCCAGGAAAACGTTCACAGCGTTGCTCCCGGTGACGTTCCCGATGGAGGCGTCTGCGTACTGGTCCTGCGTTGCTGCTACTTTGCTGGCAAATGTGTCTGCAAAGGAAAGATGGGGAGAAACCCTCAAGAAACACCCAGGAAAAGAGGGAAGCTTGGGGACGAATGTCACTGGCAACACCTGGGGAAAGAAAATAATGGGTGAGGGGATAGGGTACAGCCCCTTCTAACGGAAATTCCAGGAGATTGAGGGACCACCTGGTTCTATTGGACAATCAGGGTCTGGAAATGCACAGGGGGGAATGTCAGTGGTCAGAAATACAGGCCTTCCCCCAGTATAGCCTCTAGCACCTTTTGCCTCCCTGAAGCCCAGTGCCTTGTGCAGGCCCTGACACTTTGGTAAACCAGGTCATCCTCCATCCCTTGGGAAGAAAAACCGTGTGGGCGGGTGCATGCTTGCCTAGGTGCTCTGCCAGCTTTAATACCAGTGATGAAACTTGGCTGGCCATTTTAATGGAAAACCTTGTGCCAGGCAGACCAGCATGACGCTGCTCTGCACCACAGGGAAGTGCTGATTTTACATCCAAACCCACTGTGGATCTGCAGGGGGAAGGAAGAGCAGGAGGAATCAGCCTGTGGGTTGGTTCAGGTGAGCACTCTCAGCTAACGATGAGAAGATGAGTCCTGAACATTTCTGCACTCTCAGATCCCCTTGGGTACACGCAGCCCAGCGTGGCTCAGGAAAAGAAAACAATGAGGTCGTATTTCACATCTCTTATTTCTCCAGAATTTCTGTTCCTCCTCAGCGGGCTCCAAGGTGAGATGGCAAAGTGCAGCCTGGCACAAAGATCCAGTTCCATGGAACAGGAGGGGATGAGCACACATAAGCACAGCTAGAGGGTCCAGTTGCAGCAAAGAAATCAAGTCTGCTTTATTTAAAAAAAAAGGCTGCCATGGAAATGCACCTTGATCATGGTGCAGCAATAGAGTTGTGGGACAGTGCTGATGCCCCCATGGCCTCTGCAGCTGCCACTGGGGGAGAAGGGATGAGTGTAGAAGCAACAACCTGCACTTCTGCGAGTTCAAGCAGTGCTTTCAATGCAGGGAAGGTCCCTGTCACCCCTGTCAGTGTTGATTTCTCTGCACCCTCCTCTGCCCATCTCCTGGAAAGCAGGCATGGAGGAGCCCAGTCAGCACCAGCTAACACAGCACAGCCTGGGAGCCAACTGAAACTGAAGAGTAGCCCAATGTATTCTAAAAAAGAACTTCTTAAATGCCACCTTATGCCAGCAAAAGCAGGAGGGAAGATTTTCACTGTCAAACATGTGAAGAAGCTCTGCAAACCTTCTGCTAAAGCCTCTACTGCCAGAGGTCTAAAAAAATGCTCCTTCTTCTGTTCCATGCCCTAGATATGTTCTCTTTTGGTTCTGCTGCTTCTTCTCTTTGGCTTTGCTAGCATTAGGGCAATTTCAGGATCTTTGAGCATCTGAGTGCCAATAACTGGAAGTTTGAAGGCGGTGAGGGAAGGTGTGACTGATGCAAAGGATGGTTGGGGTGGGTCAGAGCCCCTTGACCAGAAATCAGGCTCTGCCTGCCCAGCACAGCCCATGGCAGAAGATGAGTGAAAGGCACGGGCTCTCTTACACAAGCTGACATGGGAATCCCCAGAGCTTCACAAGGTGCATTTCAAGCAGCTCCCCCAGCTCAGCAACCTCACCTTGATCCATCTGAACCCAGTCTCACACAAAGGTGTCCATGCTGGAAAGGGTGCCCTGAGTACAGATTCACACTTAATTCACCCAGGAGCAAGGTGAAAGCAGCAGATGCTTAAAATGCAGGACTGCCAATGCAGGCAGCATTTTAACTGAAGACCAATTCTGACTCTGAAAGTGGACACCATGGAGGCTGCCCACAGAAATACATATTTCACAGTCTTTGCAGTGCAATGGTCCTTGAAATGATTCCCATGGGACTGAATCCACATCCTGGCTCTATCCTTCAGCCCACCTGAGACTGAAAACCAATTTCCATCTATATCTCAAACCTGTGCTTCGGGATCCTGCAGAGCACAGCCCTCCCCAACCCCAACCCCAACCCCAGCCTGGGTGTGGACGGACCTGCGCAGCAAAGCCCGTGGCTGTGCTTACCTGGCACGGATGTCCCCAGGGCGACAAACACCACGGCAGTGACGGAGTCCTTCAGGCCGATGGTGCAGCCAAAGTGGGATGCCAGGTCGCCAATGAAAGCTGTCAGGAGGCCAATCATGAGGATGGAGACAACAAAGCAAGCCCAGCCATTCCAGTAGTCTGTGGGGGGCACGAAGGCAAAAAGGACCTTCCAGAAGACGGTCAGAAAGTGCATCACGTAGTCAAAGCAGGAGGGCAGCTTCTCCTCCCCACATTCATCGTCATCGTCATCTTCCCCTGGAGAAAACCGGCAGTGCCTGATTAGATTTACTCATCCTGGGGGAGGATGGGCAAAGCTCCTGTGCAAACTGCAGCCCCCAAAACTCTGTGTTGCATGATTTGGGCCCTGGAATGCCTTGACTTCCAAATATCTTATTTTCTGAGCAATCATCGGAGTTGCTCGATGGCCTTTCCTTGCCCTTTTACACAGCACAGAGACACACCCCAGAGGCGATGGTTTAAAAAAACAACCTGCACTTCAGAAAATGCAGAGCCTCGTGCCAGCACTTCTGCCTGAGTTTAACCATCAGATGCTTTCTGGGACTCAGCTCCTGCTCAAGAGCTCAAGTGGGAAAAAACCAATTTGGTGCTGGCTGGAGCTGACTGGGGCAGGCAAACCCACCGAGAGCAAGGCCTGCCTCGTGGAGTATCCCACAGGGAAGCCCCTTCTGAGCTGCTCTGAGCTGCTTTCCACAAGTGCCTGCAATTGCTTCCAGCTCTCTGGAAAGGCAGCCGGCTTTCACGGCTGCTGAGCTGCTCTGGTGCTTCACCTTACCTCTGCTGCAAACAGGGATCAGGTAATGGATTTCTGCCTGCCCTAAAGCCCCCCTGCTCAATCACTGCTGGCTGTCCTTCCCTGCTGCATTTCTCTGCACCTTCACGTTTCTCTATAAGCTCTGGTTGCCTGTTCCTTGATGTCTGGTCTCTCCTGGCTCAGTGGGGACTCCCTTTCCTGCTCCAGGCATTGGCACCTCGCCTGTCTCTGCAAAACCCCTTGGCATCCAGCCTACAGGGAGCCCCACGGTGGGGGTGACCCCACCAGGGAGCCCACTGGGGCTGGTGACCCCTTGCCTGAGTCCTGCAGCTCTGAGGAGCTGTCTGGAGAGCCTGCTGGCCAGCCTGTGCCTCGGGCAGGCTGCATGGCAAACCTGGGGCTTCCCCAGCCTGGCGCAGTGCACAGCATCCCTGCTGTGGCATAGTCAGAAACTCCTCCTGCTCGCACTGGAACCACTCCCAGACTTGAAGGGGAGGTGACACTTTTCCAACTAAGTCAGTGGGAGATTTCCTGCTGCCCTTAAGAAACAAGGATGAGTTTGTAAGCCTCGAATGTTCGGGATTCCAAGGCCACTGTAAGTCGTTTTAAAGACATCCCTTGCATTTTGTCTGGTGATTTTCCACGTCTTTGATGCTTTTTGTTTTCCCACCAAGGATGTGGACCACCAGGTATCCCTGCATGGCTGCTGAAAGAAGCTCCTTAGCAATGGGAAGATGCAAGCTTGGGAGCTTCAAACTCACTATGGCAGAAACAGTAGCTAATCAGCGTCATTATTTTGGCAGATATAAATACCCATTCCTGTGCATTGTTGTGAGGATAAGGAACAGTTTTCCAGCCTGGAAAGCCTATGTTGGCCTGTGTTTTCCCTCAATGTGCAAAGGCTGCTAATGGCAGGATACACCGTGCTGTGCTCGTGCTGTAATTCTGCAGCAGGTATTTCAATCCTCTGCCAAGCTCAGGGTGGCACCAGGACTGCTCTGGACCTGAATCTTTACAGAGATGATGAAACAGACTGAAAAATGATCATGAATGCCCCTGTCATAACACCCATCCAGATCTGCCTAGCATTTTGTTAAGCAGCCGTGATGTCTCTCTTTTGGAGCTGGTCAGATCTTGTGGAGGTGACTTGAATCACAGAGTGGCCTTGGATGGTGACCCAGGGGTGCATTCAGAAACAGGCCTGCAAGCCCCAGAGTGTTTTTGCTGTGGAAGAAAGTTTAAAGCTTTTGGGTACACACTAAAGGAGCTGAGTGACAGGCTCTGGACAGCCCAGAATGGCCCAGCACAGCGTGGCACAGCCTTGTCTGCACCTGCACTGCCCTTCCACAGACCTCACCTACTGCTGCTCCATCCATCCCCTGCAAACACTGCCCTGAGCTGATCCTTGTGGGGAAAATGGGGGTTTAATGTTTCTTTTCTCAGCTGGGATTTCACCTGGTATCCAGCATGAGCTGTGGGGGAAAAAACTCAAACCCAGCCTCCAGTGTTTAAAGCATTTTAACTTATCTGGCACAAAGCCTGAGGAGCTAAAGCCTGGGTACCTCCAGAGCTCAGAGACAAACTACTACTGAGATCCACAACCGCACAGGACAGCTCATGTCCACCAAAATACATCCCATTTATTAACTGCTTGTTAATCTGTTAGCTCTGATCTATCTAGATGGCTGTGTATTCAAGACATGGGGGCAACAGGGCTTCCACATAACTGCAGTCTTTATGTGGGTCACAGAAATGGCATCCAACCATCAGTGACTATCTTTGCTTTAACATGGGATGCAATTACATAATTGGTTCTGGCATAGATTAGTTTAGCCATATTAGCTACAAAACCTGCAGCAAGGATTGTCTTGCATGATAAGTTCATGCTGAATCCAAAGTAATGGGAGGCTCTTGCCTGGAGGCTCTGAGAAGAGCTGTGCTACAAGAGGAGGGATCACAGTCTGAGAAGGAAGCTGCTGCACAGTGTCCTGCCCTTGTTTTCTAGAGGCAGAGGGTAAATGGCACTGCGATAATTTTTAATTCCGTGGTGCTTGGCAGAGGTTACCTTGTATGGCAGAGTTAGAGGTAGGAGGCTGAGCGCTCCCTCATGCATTTCAGTGCACAATTAGCCAGATGAGAGGTAATTGTCTTCCCCAGGGATTTAATTTAAGCTGGCTGATTTTGCCCCAACATGTGCACATACAGCCCAGGCTGGGCTGTGAGGTTGTAACATCCAGCCAGTAAGTAATAGTGTTTCCAGCTGTTAAAAAAACATCTGGAGGAGACTTTTCTTCCTTTTCCCACATATATGGGAATGATAACATATCCTGTACTGGTAAACATGGCACTGGCACCTGCGAGAATGGTACCACAGGGCATTTGAGGGAAAAGCAATTCTCCAAGGGAGGGAAGGTAAGATCACACAGGATCTGGTTCAACCACAGATACGATGTGCTGCTGCAGCTATTGGAAAGCAGGGCGTGTCAAGGGAACATTTTGGCTCACAGTGAGGCTTTGCACCCTCACTACTGCGTTGTCCTCACCGCAGAGGTACAGGGAGAACCAGGGAAGGGGAGCACTGTTGCTTCACACCAGCCTCATTTATGCCTCTCTGAATTTCCACACTGTGCTCACCTCCCAGATCTCTCCCACTGAACTGACTTTTTCCCCTCTGCCGTCTGCTACCAGCCAAGGTGTTGCTCTGCCTGGTGCTACAGACACGCTTCACGCAGAAGGTTTCCTACACACGAGGCGAGGTGCCCTCACAAAAGGCTTTAATCAGCTGCCTTGTTTATGCAGACGCTGTAAATAACTCTGCCACCTGCTCTGCCTCCTGCTGCTCCACTACAGTCTGCCTTGCTGATGCAGCCAAGCCGAGCTGCGAGCGAGGGTGATCGTAATTCACCTGAGCTGTGGCCCAAACTCACCCGCGCTGACAGTAATGGCCTCAATGAACTGCTCCCTCCAGCTGTTTGTGCCAACCACCAGGGCCAGGTTCGTCTTCTTAATGAGCTTGTCCACCGTGTTCTGTGGATGGAGAGGCAGAGCAGAGAATCAGGGGCTGCAGACACTTGGCTAAAGCCCACCAGTGCCACTGCTTATGGCCATGTGTTTATGGAACAAGCTCAGCAGGTTTTAAGCTCAAGAGACCCAAATGTAAGTACTTGCAATTCCTTTTGCTGCTGCTAAAAAAGACCTTTGGAAACCTGCTCATAGATGAGAGTTTGAACCATCTCAGAGTCACAGTAAGGATGCCCTGTTATAGTTTTATACTACAGAAAATTTGAAAAGATAATGAAATGGCCAGTTTTCTGCTCTTGGCCTGGCCTATGCATTCAGGGCAGCTGAGCTGCACAACCCTTACTTGCATTTGGGGTTATCAGCCCTTTGCACTGGGAGTGCCAGGCCTGGGGCTCACTCAAGGCTCCTGTAAGTAGGACCAGCGTGTAGAACTCACTGTGAGAACAGGGTCACATTTTAAAGCAACCTGCAGCATTTGGGACCCCAGTTCCTGTTTCCTGTGTGATTCCATGCAATGCCTCGCTTTGCCCCAGTACCATCAATATGTGCCTCCCAGTGCTCCCTCCTCCACACCTTCCTACAGATATCCTCCCTCCTGTACACCTTCCTACAGATATCCTCCTTCCTCCACACCTTCCTACAGATATCCTCCCTCCTCCACACCTTCCTACAGATATCCTCCTTCCTCCACACCTTCCTACAGATATCCTCCCTTCTTGCACACCTTCCTACAGATATCCTCCCTCCTCCGCACCTTCCTACAGATATCCTCCCTCCTCCACACCGTCCTACAGATATCCTCCCTCCTCCACGCCGTCCTACAGATATCCTCCCTCCTGTACACCTTCCTACAGATATCCTCCCTCCTCTGCACCTTCCTACAGATATCCTCCCTCCTCTGCACCTTCCTACAGATATCCTCCCTCCTCCACACCTTCCTACAGATATCCTCCCTCCTCCACACCTTCCTACAGATATCCTCCCTCCTGTACACCTTCCTACAGATATCCTCCCTCCTCCACACCTTCCTACAGAGATCCTCCCTCCTCCACACCTTCCTACAGATATCCTCCCTCCTCCACACCTTCCTACAGATATCCTCCCTCCTCCACACCTTCCTACAGATATCCTCCTTCCTCCACACCTTCCTACAGAGATCCTCCCTCCTCCACACCTTCCTACAGATATCCTCCCTCCTCCACACCTTCCTACAGATATCCTCCCTCCTGTACACCTTCCTACAGATATCCTCCCTCCTCTGCACCTTCCTACAGATATCCTCCCTCCTCCACACCTTCCTACAGAGATCCTCCCTCCTCCACACCTTCCTACAGATATCCTCCCTCCTCCACACCTGCCCGAACAAAAGGAGTGTGGTGGTGGGGAAGAAGAACAGGGCTGCAGGATGTGAACAGTACCTTGAACTCGTAGGATTCCTCAATGATGATCTCGAGTTTGGTGTGCTCCCCCAGGACTGGGCGCCCCATCTCTGCGATCCGGCGCTCTTCCTCCTCCTTGCTGGTCAGTGGCTGCTTTTCTTCATTCTCCTCTGCAAAGCAAAGAGCCCGGGGGTGAACCAGGCCCAGCTGGTCGCTCTGGGTCTGGCTCCTGTCAGAGGGGGAGGTCAGGAGGCCTCTGGGTGGGAGCGTGAGCGACAGAACAGTGGAGAAGGAGTAAATGGAGCAACAGACAAGGATAGTTGTATGAAATGCTACCAAGAGGTCTGCAACTCATCCAGCCTCAGGAGGAGTGCTGCTCATCCTGGGGCTGGGGAACAGCTTATTGCTCGGTAATTCTGCCTGTCCCACAGGGCTGCTGGAAGGGGAAAGATCAGCACTAAGGCTGCTCCATTCCCCAACTCCAGGCCTGCACTGAGGTACAGTCAGGGCAGTTCCACCAGCCCGTCACAGCAAGAGAGCTCTGACAGCAGCCCCTGGGCTGAGCACAGATGAAATCTTGGCTCTGCCTCCCTCCGAGCCCGGCTTTGCCTTGGAGAGGGGGCTGCAGCCAATGCTTGCTGTGATGGCGGGGCTGGAGGGAAGAGCACAGATGTAAGAAGTCATCCACAGGCCAATGCCTGGCTCCAAACCCTAAAAGAGGAAGCAGTCCCTAAAAGAGGGACTACAAGACCAGTGAAGCAGGTCTGCACCTCCACAGATGACAGTGGGGCATGGGGACTGCAGGCAGCATGCCCTTTGTCACTGTCCCTTGTGCAGACCCCAGTGAACTCCCCTCCAGTCCACCTGAGCAATGGGCAGGAGAACATCAGGGCTGAAAAGGACTGGAGTTAATCTGTCAGCAGGCACACACCCCAGTCAGTCCACGGGAGACTGACATGGTGCCACACCACAGGTACCTTGGATGGAGACCACGGTGCAAGGAAGAGGATGATCTCTAGCCTGGACCTTCCTGAAGACAGGTTTGCCTATTAAAGTGATCAGCAGGAGATCAGCAGGGGGGACTGCACACACTCTACAAGCTGTCCCCGTGCAGTTAGTAAACTCCATTCTTATGTCACACGGGGTTAGTGCTGCTCCCTTGTCTGCTCAGGTGGCACGGAGCTGAGGGAAAGCCCTTCTCCTCCTGCAGGCTAAAGAGGCCCACCTTAGACCCACTCCTAAATCTGAGTCTATGTTTCCAGGGCTCCTGAGGAGCAATGTGTGGGACCCAGGACCTTCTCATGCCACGTTGTTCGGCTGAAGGAGGGACACCTGGACCAAACGGAGAAGCCCACCCTGCTCCAAGACATGGAGAGGGGCTGTGGTGGCTTCGGGGGTGACAGGTCACCCTCCCCGAGGCGGGTTAGGCGTGTGTGGCAGGCAGAGCACTCTGTGAGAGGACACGGTGTTAGCGGGACCGGCCGGGCGGGCCGCGGCTCAGCGCCTTCTTACCCTTCCAGAGTTTCCCTCCAGGACAGAACAAAAGCAAAGAGGAAACCAAGAGGAAAGAGCAGCGTGAGCATATGGCCATTAAGAGAAAGGAACAGGGGGACAGGGGAAGAGTACAAATCCATACCTGTGATGGTGAAGCCACCTAGATGAAACCAAAAATGAGAAAAGGGGGAGAGAGAGAGAGAGAGAGAATAAATGAGCATTAGCATTTGCACATCAACATGGACATGGTGGCCCTTCCCCTCCCCACTGTGGACATGGGGTCTGCTCCCCAACACACACCCCAGGGACAGTGTGGGGAGACCTGCACACAGGCTTTTCAGCCCACATCTGCGAGCTGCCACCCCTTGTGTCTGATATATGCTGTGGAAGGGGTGAAGCCTGCCCTGGGGCTATGGGTGCGTGGGGAACGAGGGTGCCTACTGCCCACCTGCCCCATCCTGGAGGTGGCCAGCAAGGAAATTCAAAGGCTGTTTAGGCTCTAAGTCTCCCCAAGACAGGAGGAAAAGTTTGTACTGTCCCTTCAAAAAGGACTGGCCAGCTTTCCTGCCAGCTACAAGCATCCCTCAGTTGCCAGGAAATCCTGTTTTGCCAGGCCAGTTTAGAGGTGATGGGTTCATTTGCGTGGCACAGGTTTGTATCTCGGGGTGCTGGCAGGTTTACTCTGCCTGTAACAGCACCACCCCCTCCCAAAAATGCTCCTTGCACCACCTCTTAGTATTGGTGACTTTGGGGCCCTACTCAAAGGGAAGATGGGGCATTAGGTACCTGAGCTCACTTAAACAGTGCTGACCACCCTAAAACAGAATGCTGTGAGCAAAGAAAAACATCAAGCAAAATCGATTGTCCTCCAAAGACAGGCAAACCAGAAAAATGGAAAGGAAAAATGAATGCGCTTACCAAGCTCATTCAACAACAGGGCTGTGAAGGAGACAGAGACAAACACAGAAGAAAAGTAAATGAAAAATGAAATCAAAAGGGATATCCACAGAAAGACACCAGATCCCAGGGCACAGATTTCAGATCTGTAAAGCTGCAGGATACCATTAGTGTTAAGAGAAAGACGCTAAACAGAAATGTTTCATGGGATTGTGGATTTAAAATGAAAACCACTGCAAACATGGGGTGGATATGGGATTAAAAGACACACTCCAAAAAATTCATTTTTCCCCTTTGAATTGTATGTGCAAGATCTTCCATTGGTCTCAGAGGCAGTTCTGCCCCGGGGGGGGACACAAGATGTCCCATGTGCAGCAGCTACTGGCTTTGACCTCCTCCAGCTGCCTGATGGGGAGCAATGGCTCCGGCAGCAGCGGCACTTTTGGCATAGAAAACAGACAAGAAAAGTCTGTGGCAAGGCTTGGCTCAAGGGTCTTGTTGCTCAACATTTTAGATCTCCAAAATGAAAGAAAAAGCCTCTCCCTTAGTGCCCTGGTGGATCCTGGGCCCCACCACAGCCCAGGGGTGACATTTCAGAGACGCCCTTGTGTCTCTGAGCACACTGCTCCTCCTGCCTCGCTGCTTCTTGTACCAAACCAAGTACAAGGAAACAAGTTTAAAAGAAAAGAAAAAAAAAAATTAAAATTGCATGGCCAAAACAGCAAATAGCTGCTTTAAATAGTCCTTTAAGTTTTGTCTTGCCTTCCACTTAGCAAGCTGGCAAGCCTGATCTTCTCTCAGCTTTCCCCAGTTATCTTAGTGACCAGGAAGATAAGAAATGTTTTTCCTTTTCTTTTTATTTTTAGACAAAAATTTCAGCTGGGATCTCCAGAGCTGGTTTTAAAACCTTGGATCTGGAGAGCATGTTTGCTCCTGCTGGACTCGCAAGGCTGAGCCCACACTGGCCCCTGTGGGCAAGGCTGGAGCTGCTGAGTTGAGTCGTCCACGTGTAACTTTACCCTGGCTGTACTGTCCATGCTCCACAGATGCCACCGGCTCCATTTAATGACACAGACCCCACCTGCAGTGCCTGAGTCATGCCAGTGTCTGTGTTTTTAGCCCAGCTTTTGTTAGGCAGTCACCTCCAGCAGGGAAGCTGATGGAGGGGACAATGCAGCTGACCTAGCACCTGAGCTGAAGAGGAACGTGGCATGTGTGGCATGTTCCCACTCAGCGTGGCGACCACTGAAAGCCCTCACTGTTCTATCAAATAAATATTATAGCCTAATGCCTGCTGGAGGGAGAGCTGATGCCCCAGAAACTAGAAAGCAGCTCCACAGCAGACAGACCAAATCTTCTGCAAAGGTTTTAATAATGGTCCCTCTCTTAAATAACTCTAAAAGTGCTTCTTGCTCAGCCACCAGTAGTGTGCCATGAATCCTCATTTAATTTTCTAGCAGAAAAAAAAACCCCATGGGAAAATAGGTGAACTCTGTCTTTTTGGAAAGTTTGGCATTTGGTTTAGAAATGTGATGAAAGAGGAAATTGTTTTTATTATTCCTATGAGAAGCTATTATCCAATGCAGAGCCATGAAACTTCATTTGAGTATAACCTGATTTACCTAAACTGATTGCATCTCATGATATTACCTACTTGGGCTGTGATTTTTGTCTATTTTTGGATCCTAGTGCCAGCATAAAAAAGCTAAAATTACTGCTCTGGCCATGCATTTGATCTCAAGTGAAAGCTGTTTTATCTTCTGATAAAAATGATACAGCATTGCCCTTTTCACTTGTCGAGGCCGGATGTTCTCTCTGGTTAAATGAAGAGCAGCAGGGGCAGCGCTCCCAAAATGTCTCTGGGGGCTGGGGACGCTGCCCGTCCCCTGCCCGGGTGCCCCAGGGCGCTGCCAGGAGCACTCCTCGCTCCTGGGGTGGGATGGAGTCCTCTCCAAGCGAAAGAGGAAAGGAAACAGAGCAAAAAGGTGCAGCGGCCAAGCTTCAGAGGAGGGAGGGCAAAAGGGCCAGGAGCCAGAGTGCGAGGAGAAAGGAGTGTGAGAGTAGGGAGACACAGAGAAAGCGGCAGCGCCTCGAGAGCTGGTCTGGTGTTACTCTCACACCTTTCACTCCTCGTCGTAGCCACACCGGGTCCCCAAGCACAAGGAAGAAACTGCACTCTTTCTCATACTCCTCACGGTCAAGGACCCTAAGGGTAATGAATTTCCTGTGGGAACACAAGACAAAGGCAAACACATGATTGGCATCGCACACACATGCAGGTCAGGTCCGCTGGGTGCTGTGGTGAGATGGTTGGCTGGGGAAGGGGCTGCACATCCCCCTGGGCATATGGGCAAGGGCAGGAGCATCCCCAGCGCCTGGCCCGGTGGCCTGGGACAGGCTGTGCTGGGGGGACGCTGTGGCCTTGCTCCTGCCCTTTTCCATAGGCACTGGGGATGCGAGCTGGTGTTGCAGGTGCCAGACATGAGTGAGCCAGACAGGGACACACAGGCGGGGCTCAGCCCCGGAGCACATCCCCCACCTTTCTTCTCACTCATCTCCACCAGCCGGGGCTCCCCGATCTCTAGGTAGAAGGTCTTGTTTTTCTCATACTCCTCATCATCTATCACCTTGATTGATATCGTTTTGCTGGAACAGAGAAGAAGAAATAGAGATTCAAGAGTAAGGGGGGAAAAAGGAGGAGGAGAAACAGGGAGCAGAATAGGAGAAGGAGAAGAAGGCAGAGGAGGAAGGTGAAAAGAGCAGGAAAAGGGGGCTGTGGACAGAAAACAGTGGTTTTGGTGGCACAGGCTGCAGGGACAGCACAGTCAAAAGCAAAGGGCAGGAGCCAATGGGCCAAGCTTGCCTCAGGATGGGCACGGACCACAGAGCACCAACAGCCTGCAGGTGCCATCCTCACGGGCATGGCCAGGCTGGGCCAGCCTTCCCCAGAGATGTCTTGGCAAGACATGTCCCTTTCCAAAACCCTGTGGTATAGATCAGCCCCTTGGCAGCTGGCACACCTTGCATGGGCACAAGCACTGGAACCAGCACAGACCAAGCTCCTGGAAGCGTGATGCACTGCTCAAGCTTGGGCATGGAACAGGCTCTGTCTCCCCAGGCTCTGCAGATTCATGAACAACACCATGATCAGCTGCTCAGTTTGGGCTTTGGAGGCTCTGATTTATGAGCTTGAAAGGGATGTTTGAGTTAGGACTTTTTCTGTGAAGGGAATGCAAAGGAAAAATAGCCTTTCTGGTTAGGGCAGGCACCTGGAAAGCTTCACAGACTGTGGGATTTTACTTCTCAAATTTTACTTTCCAAGCAGCACCTTTCCCAAGCCTCCCAGGTTTAGTCCTCTCCCACTAGAGAGCTGAGCAGCAATGCCCTCTCACATCACCCAGGGGTTTGTGAATTTGCCCCCGGGAACATCATCAGGACAGGTCTGAAGGCAGAGTCACTCTCAGAGCGCAACCACAAGCACACACCACCAAAGCAGAAAGCCTCACAGGAGGCTGCAGCCACTAGGAGAGAGATTTGCTCCTTGAGCCACCCAGTGATGTAAAAACTGCTCTTCCAGAGGAAGAAAACCAGCACAGGGGTGTTTCAGCTCTTTTCAGGGACTCACAGAAGCAGCTGGCTGAAAGCTGCTCACCAGGAGGTGACCAAACCTGGGCTACAAACATGGGGTGGTGAACCTGTGCTCCTCTGGTGCTGCCTGCAGGGCAAAGCCATTGCAAAGACAACACAGACAGAAATCCAGCGGCCTCTGCTCCTCCTGGAGGCTCTGCTCACTGTCCTGGCACTGCTGTGGGGACAGGAGCTCCTCCTGCTCTCATCTTAACCAGACAAGTAACAGCACAAACCAAAAAGCCAAGGCAGTGATTGTAGCCCTGTGTTTGCTTCTGGCTGGGTTTGCTCTCTCCCTACACTCACCTGACAGCACTGCCCTCCTGTGAATGCTTTTACCCAAGCCAGCTGTCCCACTGTGCCCTCCCTGCCCAAGCCTGATGCCCTGTCCTTTGAGGAAATGTTTCCCACCCCAGCCCGGCTCCTCTGCACTCTCCACGAGCACCCAGCACAAGCTGAACAGCCCCAAGGCTGCTCCAAGATATGATGAAGGAGGTTCTGCTGCTCCTGGCAGGTCCCAGCACTGAAAACCATAAACATGGAAGAAAGCCACGCTCTAGGGGAGTGAAACTGAGGCCACACTGCCGTGGTTTCTGGCCTTCTCCTCTCCCTGCACATCTGCACTGGCCACCCAGAGCCCCTCTGCTAAGCTGACAAGTATTTGGCAGCAGAGGCAACATTTTCTGCTCATTCAGGGTAAACACCTCAAGCACTCGGAGGAACAGCCAGGATGATTTCTTGTGCTGTTTGCTGTGAGTCAGAAGTGTATTAAGTTTGCCCTTCATGCTTTTAATGAAACCATTTACTCAAGAGCAAGTGATGGCTGTGAAAAGTGCAACAATGCAGCGCAGCTCAGTGTAATTGTATTTTATAATTAATTTCTGTAATAATTTGTTCAGTTTGTAATTATTGCTGCAATAGGTTTGTACATAGGAAAAATGGTTTCCAAGCAGGCAGCTGATCTTGCTTTGCATTGTTGAGTTAGGGAAAATTATCATGTATTAAAAAAACTAATGAAGGATATAAAAATGCTCTCAGTTAAGCTTTCAAAGAGAACCTGATAGAATTACCAGAATGGCACAATTTCAGGAACATTACTAACAAAATCAATAATTTTCCTGACAGCTCCCATTAAAATGTACACTGCATCCTGGCCTAATGCAGGAAACCCCCCCAGGAAAGTTAATTAAGAGAGGTGCCTTCTTAAATTCTGATGGCAGCAGAGTCATCAAGACATAAACTTCCTCTGGGTGTACTCTGGCTTGTCAAGTGTGGCACTCCTCAAGGGCCCACAAAATAATTCTCCCTTACAAAAATAAATCTGTGCGCCAATTAAAAAAAAAAAAAAGAAAACCTCTGATGCTTAGATACACCAGGATACAATAGGATGCTTAGATACAATAGGACTTCACAGAATAAAGCAGAATAACTGGACTTTAAGTGCCACTGCCAGGAGGTGGTGGTGTTATGCAGTTTTCCAAGTGATCATTCCAGGGTGTGAGCAAGTGCCCTGTGTTGGGTAGACTTGTGTGCTGCTGCTGCTGTTTCTGCTGCTGGGAAAATGGATAGGCAGAAAAAATGGAAAGTCTGCTCTCTGGGTGGATTTCCAATCAGCAAAAATTGCTGAGGCAAATTTGTCCCTGGGATGAGACTGCAATCCTGGAGGAAAGGATTACCTCCTAATGGTGTTTGAGAAACAGCAAGGATGTGAAAATGACACAGGCTATTGTTAGACATGCCTGATCTCCATCACACCAATGTACAATGGCAAAAGCAGGACAAGAAGAGAAGCAAAGCTTAGAGCAAAATGCCAGCTGGGAAAGGCACTCTGAGAGCGATGCCAGGAGTGTGCAGGGACAGGTGTATATGTAATGGCTACAACAGTCTGCCACAGGCTGACAGGAGCAGCACAGAGATCAACAGCAAAATATTTCTCTATGTGTTTTTTTTGACCACAAGAGAGAAAATGAGTGCAGCATGGGTCGAAGATATAAGGATCTGGAACTGCCAGCTCTCCTGTCTGCACTGGCCTTTTCCCTCAAGGGATCAAATGGCATCAGGAATGATTGGTGAGGATCTCCATGGACCTTTGCATTCCTTTTGAACCCAAATATCTGTGCAGTCATGACACACCTGTGGAAATCCTAAGTATATTTGCAAAAATCCTGCCATTCCCAACCTACAGTTAGCTCATTGAAATGGCAGAAACCCCTCTCCTGGCTCAGACAAGCAACCAGCATTGCAAGGGCCCTGGGAGCCTGGAGGCAGCCAGCTCTGGAAAGATTCAGCAGGACGTGCTGGAGGACAGGGGACATCATCCCATCCAGGCCACCTCTTGGCAGGGCCAGATCTCCAGAGATGTCACTCACTGCCTCAGCTCTCTTTCAGAACCACGGTCATGCCAGAGCTGGAACGGCCAAGAAGCTCTGCACACAGACAGCAGTGGTGTCTCCAGTGGGCCAGGAAAACAGCAAACACACAACCAGCTGTCAGAGCAGTCGGTAACAAGCTTGCCCAGGAGAACGTGGCACGCTGCTGCTGTCTGCACAGACACTTGTTCCTGAATCAACAGAGGGAATGATGCACTTCTGCAGCTTGTCACCCAGCCAGCTTCCCCTGATTGCCCAGGAGAGCCGCAGGAGTGGCTTGGAGGATGTTCAGCTGCAGATTCACAGCTACAACATCCAGGCTGGGCACTCAGGGTGGGCTGTGCTGCCTAAGCCTGGTGCTGCCAGCCCTGATGCCCCAAGAGACCAGCACTTCCCCCCCAAGAGGGCCATCAGTTTCAGCCAGGGAATAGCCATGAGGGACACATGTTCTGGAGGTGACATTACAAAGCCACATCCATCAGTGCTGCCTGTCCTAGCACGAGCTCCCAGGCTCCCACAGAACCTGCCACATTGATTTCTCACACGTCTGCCTGTCAGCACAGTCATCTGATTAGCTGAACTTCGAGCTTGCCATGAGAGAGGCACGTGGACTGGGAAGCTCCCAGGCTCACACAGCTCACGGGGCAGTGCCTGTGCTGAGGGGCTTTGGGGCAAGAAAACTCCCAAATCATCATCATCATCATCATCACCATCATCATCATCATCACCATCATCATCATCATCATCATCACCACCACCTGAGCCAGAGGGCAGGGCCACATCACAGTGAGGAGCCTGGACCAGACCCCTGGGCATGGTTGGAACCAACCACCAAGAGCAGCTTTCCTGCTCAATTCCCGACAGATACTCGAGGAAGGAAGTTGCTTGTTGCTGGGAAGAAAAGGAGGTGAAGAAAAGGGAGCTTTTCTTTCATCAGTTGACAACAAAATTGCACCTTATGGTGAGGAGGTGGCAGCCTCACGTACAGAGAGACACCCAGGTCCGTGGTGGAGGTGTTTGTCCCAGCCACAGGACGTGTGTGCGGTGGGGGACACAGGTGAGGGCAACGTGACACCTGCTCAGCCAGCACAGGGACAAACCTTCCTGAGGGACAGAAGAGGGCCAAATAATTTCACACCAGATTATGTGACAGACCTTGTGCCACACGTGCTTTTAGCTGTTCAGCAGTGACCTCTGGCAAAGGAGAGGGTTCATCGGGGTTTCTGTCCCTGCCATGGGCTCCCATCTGTGTAAGATGTCCCATGAGTCACCCATGCAGGACCCTTTGCCAAAACAAGCCCCGCTGACACAAAATGTCTGTACTTTATGAAAATTTTGCCTGCAGCGCATCACAAACATGACAGGGAGGGAAAAGGAAAACCTGCCTGAAACAAAGCATGACGCACGCTTTGGGAAGTATGGATGTGAGCTGATCTGATGTGGCAGCTTGGTTTGCTGGCCCAGCAGCCCAGGTCTGCATGGGGCTTCACACTCCAGTGCCTCCCAAAACCATTGAGCAAACCAGCCTGGACACCACAAACAAGGGGAGGGGGAAGTGGAAATGGTCCCTCTATACCTTCCCCCCACCTCTGAGCAAAAATTCATCTGGCTACCCTCATTTTCTTGCATGCCCTCCGCCTCTTTCCCCAA